GCATGGGGCAGCAGTTGTAGGTTTCCAAAATGTCTACCATCTGGTGGGAGAAGCAAAGTGGGGGTGATTCAACAAATGGATTGCTGGAAAAGTAAGTACAGTATATATCCTTTTATTGTAAGGCTCATTCACACCATGTACATTGAACTGCATTAATCTGCATAGATCACAGCAGGTTCAACACAAGGGCACATAGAAAACAATTGTTTTCTAGGTGCCATGTTCACACTATACATGTGTGGTAGTGTGCTCTATGCAAAAAATGCAACAAGCTATTATATGACACTTCAAATAAAGTTAAAAAGAAAGGTAAACAGCGTGATGCCTTCTAACACATTTCACGACCCCTACACAAAGCACATATTTTAGAGTGTGGGCTGGTGTCAACTAGCCCTTACAGCAGCCATTCTAAACTAGGGTTCCTCCAGAGACTGTTAGCTGAGGCTGATTGCCCTCCCATTTTATGATGCCTGCATAGACCTGGGGACAATGCCAGTTGTCTGAGCCAGTGGAACGGCTATACGTGTGAAAGAAGCCTAATGGTGGCATTCTGACCGACACTTTAAGGGGGAGGCATTCTTCCCAATGACCCCCCCCCCCGATGAATTGTTTTTTAACCTGAAAATCACTTAAAAAGTTCCTCTAGAGCACGGGTGTCAAACTGACAGGCCCTCCAGCTGTTGCCAAACTACAAATCCCATGAGGCATTGCAAGATTGACAGTTACAAGCATGACTCCCAAGGGCAGAGGCATGATGGGACTTGTAGTCTCACAACAGCTGGAGGGCCGCCAGTTTGACACCCCTGCTCTAGGGTAAAAGCTTGAGAAAGTCTGTCTTAAAGGGTGGTCCTTCTGTAAAAATGCTCTTGTGGGGACACTTTATAGTCTAACTCTACTTTTCCACCATGTTATACCCATAATTGGGGTGCAACATGTAACGTTGTTCTCCCCCCCCACTCACTGTGACAGTAGGGTTCCTCTCCCCTGCAGCTGCTTTCACTTTTGAAATTGATGCGGCTGTGTCTGCTCACAAAGCCGCATCATTCATTCACAGTGGTCTGCGAATGATTGAGCTACGGCAGAGGGGCTTGTAGCTCTCAATGGTAGATAAGTGCAGTGACCGCACTTTTAGAACATTGACCCTTTCTTTCTCCCACTCTCTAACTTGAAAGCTTGTACCTCAGTATGCAAATAGAGCTGGAGGAAGAGACTGCAGGAAGCAGGCATTGCCCCCCCAATCCACTAATTGCAGTTGCATCACACTCACACAGTCTATTTTTTCACTTTCCTTAACCTCTTCACGCAAATGGGCCTGGCGTCTGGGCCTAGACTCTGAGTGGCCACACATTTTGCGTGCAATTAAGAAATACATATGTGCTGAGAGCACTCCCAGCACACATGTCTGGTACTCACGGGAAGGTCCCGATCTCCTCTTTTGATCGGGACCTTTCCCGATCATGTGACTATGATGGCGCATCATGGCAGTCACATGACCCTAAAACCCCGCCCCACCTCCCGGCTTCTGAAACCCTTAAAGGACCGGGAGGCGCCGGTGCCAAGGGGTTAAAGTGCAAAAAGTGACACTCCACTCATGTCCCAGCAGAGGCGTAGCTGGGGGGGGGCAGGGGGGTACATATGTACCCAGGCGCCAAGATACAGGGGCGCCAAAATGAGGCTTACAACGTTACATTATAATAAGTGAACAAGGGTCCAAAAATCGGTCACAAAATCACTGCAGCGGCTGCAGCAGACGTGTCATCTGATACGTCTGCCATCCACAGTGATGATGCTGCCTGCCAGCCACTGCAGCCAGCCGAGATACGGATTCTGCGTACAGCCGGTTCCGTCTGCACGTATTGAGCGTTGATAAAAAGTGGGCATATGTGACACACTTGTTATTGTGGCAGAAAACAAAGATGGCTTAAACTCGATTAAGGTACATGTAGGCTGTATGTTGTGTACATAAAGTGTTTATTAAATTAGTAGTACTTGTTCTAGTATAAAACAGTCCATTATTCATTAAAATTTAAATTGTTTTTCCCTATCCAGTGTAATAGAAAAATGTGACTAAACAGGGAGGGGGGCTGGGGCGCCAATTTTATAGTTCGTCCCTGGGCGCAAAATATCCTAGCTATGCCTCTGTGTCCCAGCACAGCAGTGTGGTGTGTTGAGCTGCTGTGTAGCGATTACCTTTCTTTACACTGCTGTAAAACACCACGGGGTTGATTTACTAAAACTAGAGAGTACAAAATCTGGTGCAGCTGTGCATGGTAGCCAATCAGCTTCTATCTTCATCTTGTTCAGTTAGGCTTTGACAATAAAACCTGGAAGCTGATTGGTTTCTATGCAGACCTGAATCAGATTTTGAACTTTTCAGTTTTAGTAAATCAGCCACTACATGTCTCCATTTTATCGCAGCTTACTTCATCTCACCTCCTGGGCTGCATTGCAGTGTGAACAGCAGACCTAGAAACCAATTGTTTTCTATGTGCCCTAGCCGTGACTGGCTTTTACCCAGTGTGGAAAAACATCAGTCACCACAATGTGTGAAGAACCCTAAAGGTTCTACTCAAGGGCCCTTTCACACTAACTAGTTTTTGATACATTTTGGTGTTTAACCCCTTCACGCCGAGCATACACAAATATGCGGCCTCTCTGCGGCTGGGCCTTGACGCCGAGCGGCCGCATATTTGCGTACCATTTGTAAACAAATGTGCTCAGAGTGCGCACCCTGCGCGCTCCCAGCATGTGTCTCAGTGTCCCATGGAAAGGTCGTCTTGCGATCGGGACCTTTCCGATCATGTGACCACCATGACAGCCAATCACGGCGGTCACATGACCCTAAACCCCACCCGGTATCAGAAACCCCTTAAAGGGCTGGGAGGCGCTGGCGCAAAGGGGTTAAAAAGCAGAAAATAAAATGCATGAAAAATGCATCTCCATAGACCCTATGGAACACTTCACACCAATGTGCAGGTGCAGTTTGTTTCTAAAAGTCCTGCATGCTGTATTTATGGTGCCTGTTTAAAAACGACCTGCTAACCCCTGTCCTGCTGACCCTGTCATCTGCCCTACTGATCTCTGTACACTGCCCTACCTATTACTAACCTCTGTACACTGCCCTACCCACCACTGACCTCTGGGGGCTTGCTAGTTAACGTCTTAAAAAAAAGGTGCAGCACCCCGGAGATCATTGCTCCCTTCTATGTTGTCATTGTAGATCTCCACCTCTAAGGCCAGGTGCACATATGTGTGGCTGTGTGGGCTGCGATTTGTGCGGGCACAAGAGCTCATTCATTTCAATGGACTCCCGTGCCCCGGGACACACAGAGAAGTCTCTGCACTTTTTTGGAAATCACAGCCCGCACAGGAACATCGGTTCCCAGCACGGTTGCAATTTCTAGTACGTGTGGCATGCCATTAGAATTAATTGCACCCGCCTGTGGGTCCCGCATTCCTCTGTGTGCGTGGTGCGGCTGCAGGTATTTGAGCGGGTCCCGCAGCGACACCACCTGCACATATGTGAACCTATCTTAAAAGATAGCCTACCCCTGATCTACAGGCATACATATACATGATATAAACGTGTTTAACTGCTACAGATGTAATCGTGGCTAAACAGATCCATTTTATTCTTCTGTCAGTTGGAACCTGTGTACGGGACTTATGCAGGCCATAGACGGGTCGAAAATTGGCCGATTTTTCATCCAAAAAAAAAAAAAATCGGCCGATTTTCCCACCATTAATGGGTTAATTGGTTGGCCGTTTTTTGAGGTTTTGACACTTTTTTTTATTGGTGAAGTTGGAAAAAAATCGTCCAATTTTGCCGATCGGCCGATTTTCCCGGCAATGATGGGCAAATCAGCCGATCTTTTTACCGATAAAAAAGCTGCGCATGAGCCGTGGCCTGCAAGAAGAATAAAAAGAATAAAAAGAAAAAAGAAGAAAAAGAAAAAGAAGAAAAAAAGTAAAAGAAGAAGAAGAATTCCAGTTCACTATTATATTTGACATGAAAAAGTATTGCGGTTGCAACAATGTATCTATTTGTATCCAAATAAAAACATCTGTATCCAAAATGGATACAAATAGATACATTGTTGCAACCACAATACTTTTTCATGTCAAATATAATAGCGGAGCTCTCTGCAGGGACAGAAGTAATTGAATGCTGGCAAAAGATGGGACGAAAATTGGCCGCTTTCTTTTTTACTGTTGGTGGTAACGTCGGAATATTGAACGACCGTTTTTTTTTTTTTTAAAAACAGCTGGTTTTCGACCCGTCTATGGCCTGCATTAGGGAGAATTCCCACTTGTCAGTCGTGAAATCGCAGAGCAGCCAGAGCCATTATTACAGTGTCAGTACTTCTTATTAGCACTGATCGCTGTATTGGTGTCACTGGGGATGTAAGTGACACCAAGTCAGTTCCCCCCAGTGTTAGAATGCCCACCGCAGTCCCTAGTACAAATTAAAAAAAAAAAATATATATACACTACCATTTGTAAAAGCTATAACTTTCACATAAACCAATTAATTTACACACGTATTGGGATTTTTTTTTTAGCAAAGACTACATTTTTCCCTAAATTTATGATGAAATTTGATTTTTAAAATGTATTTACATGTTTAATAGCAAAAAGTCAAAAATATTGTTTTTTTTCTCAAAATTGTTGATCTTTTTTTTTTTTTAATAGTGTTGAAAATAAAAAACTCAGGCAATTAAATACCACCAAAAGAAAGATGTAAATTTAATTTTGGTGTAGCGTTGCATGACTGCGCAATTGTCAGTTAAAGTAACACAGCGACGTAACGCAAAAAGTGGCCTGGTCAGGAAGGGGGGTAAAGCCTCTGGAGGGCAAGTGGTTAAATTCACTTAGTGCCTTATCTGCAATACATTTGCCTCACAAGCTGTGTAAGTAATATGTGTTTGGTGTTAACCACTTCCCGTCCGGCCCATGTATATAAACGGCTGGATGGTGGCAGTGCAGGGTCAGGTGGCCATTTAGAAACGGCCTCCCCGCTCCCTGCTTGTGCGCGCTCCCTGGGAGCACGCAGCACCGCAATCCAGTGCCTGCTGGATTGTCGCACGGGACCTCTCTGCGAGGTCCTGATCATGTGATCACTGATTGCCCAATCAGTGATCACATGCAGAGTAATAAGCAATGATGTCACTTGTGACATCATTGCTTACTACGTGTGAAATCTGTGAATGATCACAAAGGTCACATGGTACAAGGTTATTCACAACAGCCTTGTACCATGTGACAAGCTGTGACCAATCACAGCTCACACAGTAGTTCTCAATGGCTGCAAGAATGCAGCCAGAGAGGAGAAATTATTGCTTTTACAGCCTTTATGGATGGAAAAGCAATCAGTGTAAAAAAAAAATCTTCATCACCCCCCCCCCCCCCCCCCCACAAGTAGTAGTGTCACCATGGTGACACTGTACTGCTAGGGTGACAGTATGTAAAAAAACCCCATAAATAATAATATAAATAAAAATGTAAAAAAAATGTTTAAAAATTATAATATTTGGTTATATACTAATTTGGGTTATTTTTTTTTTTTTACTAAAAAGATACGGAATAAATTTTGGCCAAGATTTATGAAGAAATATTATTTATTTGCAAAATTTTATAAGAAAAACACTTTTTAAAAAAAAGTTTTTGGACTTTTTCATTTACATAGCAAAAAAAATAAAAATCCCACTGGTGAATAAATACCACCAAAATAAAGCTTTATCTGTCTCAAAAAAAAAATGCTAAAAAATTTCATATGGGTACAGTGTTGCATGACCGCGCAATTGTCATTCAAAGTGTGAAAGCACTGAAAGCTGGCCTGGACGGGAAGGGGGTAAAATGTCCAGACTTGAAGTGGTTAAAGGGATGAGGTGACAACCCTAGTCACAGTGTGAATGGGACAAATAGGAAGCAATTGTTTCCTTTGTGTCCATGCTCAGACAGACGTTTTGTTCACGTGACTCTGCTGTTTCAGCATCAGGACGACAGACTGATCTTCTGTAGGAAGGCTCTCGGAATGATTCCGTGCCTGCTTTCCTTTCTGACAGCACACAAGACAAGCTGACTGTAACGGCCATAGCACGAGTCACAGCACTGAACACCATTGTAACCAGCGGACAGCCCGCTACTGAGAGGAGTGGGGCGGGGCAAGGTCTAGGTCAGCTGTGTGAGGAAGGGGAAGACGGGTCAGAGGGAGGTGGGGCCAGGAAGGAGGGGAAGGGGCGGGTTTCCGCAGGCGGTTGGAAACCAAGGGAACGCAATGCTGTGGAGGAAGCGGGAGGACTTGTAGACATGGGATCTGACCTGTGCTGATGGTGACAGAGCCAGCAATACATCCTGAGCTTTGTTGTGCACTAATACGGCACGTGTAAGTATACAGCTCCCTCTGCTATGTACTGTGCACCTTCATTACTTACTCAGGCTTCTTACAGATAGGTACCTCCGGCTGTTTACACGAGCTGGGAGTCTCTGCCATGTTATTGCCAATACTTACCTGCATTATGGTTCAGTCAACCAATCTGCATGGTTAGATATGAAATCTTGGCCATTTCATACTCCAGATATGTGCCTGCTCTACTATGTACTTGTGTTAAAAAGTATATTGTTCTCTTTGTATTGCTTCCTTTGTGTGCAGGGGCGGGCTGACCATTTGGAAACTCGGGCACTGCCCAGGGTCAGTAGGGGGCCCCATGAGATGGCCCTGGTACCTTTTTCATAGGCTTTTTTGAGTTTGGGCAAGGACACAGGGGCCCCATGATCCCCTAATGCCTGGGGGCCCCATGAGTTGTCAGTCCGCCCCTGTTTGTGTGAAATATCCAGTCTTCCTTCCAGTCCCTCTGCGTTCCATACTAAAAACTGACCACACTAGGTGGGAGAGTACAGCTTGGTCAGTTTTCTGGCTGTGCTGGTAACTCAGCCTACCTGTCCTCCAATGATCTTGTGCAGACACACCTCTACTGCACAACCATTGACTGGGAAGATCAGTGTTCTTTATGAATACTTATTAACCTCTTTGCGCCGGCCACACACAAATGTGCAGCCTCCCGGCATCTGGGCCTTGACACCGAGCGGCTGCACATTTGCGTGCAATTAAGAAAAACATGTGCTGAGAGCGAGCTCCCTGTGCGCTCCCAGCCCACATGTCCGGTACTGACGGAAAGGTCCCGAACTCCTCTTTTCATCGGGACCTTTCCTGATCATGTGACAGCGAATCACGGTGGTCACATGACCCTAAAACCCTGCCCCCCGCCTCCCAGCTTCTGAAACCCTTAAAGGGCCAGGAGGAACTGGCACCAAGGGGTTAAAAAAAAAAGAAAAAGTATTTACAATGTTTTATAAATGTTTTAACTTTCATATCTATTGAATGGGTTGCTTTACTTAGTGAGAATTCCCATATATCTTAAAGTGATTCCAAACAAAATTTTAAATCATACACATGCCATACTTACCTGCTCTGTACAGTGGTTTCGGTTGTTCTCTTCTCAGGTACCCAACCGGTGCAACTGGAATCTCCCCCTTGCCGAGTGCACCCTTATTAAACCCCTTGCTATGGGGGCACTCATGCAAACTCGCTCCTGAGCCTCACTCTGTGTGTCCTTTGACACACACAGAGTGGCTTGGCATCTGTGTTCTCTTGGGCAACTGTGTTCTCCTGCTTAGTGTGGTCAGTTTTTAAATATGAAAGCAGAGGGACTGGACAGAACACTGGGGATTTCACACAAAGGAAGCAATACAAAGAGAACAGGATACTTTTTCATACAAGTACATTATACAGCAGGCACATATTAGGTATAAAAATCCTTCAGCCTTGAGAACCACTTTAAGCATAAGACCCCTTTCACATGGGGCAGATTCTGTTCCCATCAGTAGGGGATCAGCTCAGATCCCTGTTGATCAGAGTGGGCGGATGACAGGTCCAAGTCCACGTGCCAAGCGGACAGGGTCAGTCTGCTCTATGGGTGGCTGGGTGTAAATGGAGTCCGCTGTCCATTTACACTCGACTGCCTCCAACCTTCTTCACCTAAACAAAAGAGGACAGGCCCACTTCAATGTTTTTTTTTTTTTCAGCAGACCCAATTGGACCCACAGTTAGGCAGACTTGTGTCCGTTTACACCCACCTGCCCATTGTGGGAGGAATGGACCTTGTGATCAGGTCCGTCTGTTAGTTTTTCAAACCATGTGAAAGGGATCTAACGTTTTTTTTTTTTTTTTTTTTTTTTTTTTAAAGTTTGGTGAAAGCATGCATTTCTTTGCATTTAAAAATAAATCTTTAATATTCTTTTACTTTGTTAACATACAGTATCTCACAGAAGTGAATCCTCCCCTCACATTTTTGTAAATATTTTATTTTCATGTGACAACACTGAAGAAATGAAACTTTGCTACAATGTAAAGTAGTGAGTGTACAGCTTGTATAACAGTGTAAATTTGCTGTCCCCTCAAAATAACTCAACACACAGCCATTAATGTATAAACCGCTGGCAACAAAAGTGAGTACACCCCTAAGTAAAAATGTCCAAATTGGGCCCAAAGTGTCAATATTTTGTATGGCCACCATTATTTTCCAGCACTGCCTTAACCCTCTTGGGCATGGAGTTCACCAGAGCTTCACAGGTTGCCACTGAAGTCCTCTTCCATTCCTCCATGATGACATCACAGAGCTGGTGGATGTTAGAGACCTTGCGCTCCTCCACCTTCCATTTGAGGATGCCCCACAGATGCTCAATAGGGTTTAGGTCTAGAGACATGCTTGGCCAGTCCATCACCTTTACCCTCAGCTTCTTTAGCCAGTGGTCATCTTGGAGGTGTATTTGGGGTCGTTATGTTGGAATACTGCCCTGCGGCCCAGTCTCCAAGGGGAGGGGATCATACTCTGCTTCAGTATGTCACAGTACATGTTTGGCATTCATGGTTCCCTCAATGAACTGTAGCTCCCCAGTGCCGGCAGCACTCATGCAGCCCCAGACCATGACACTCCCACCACCATGCTTGACTGTAGGCAAGACACACTTGTCTTTGTATTTCTCACCAGGTTGCCGCCACACACGCTTGACACCATCTGAACCAAATAAGTTTTTCTTGGTCTCACCAGACCACAGGACATGGTTCCAGTAATCCATGTCCTTAATCTGCTTGTCTTCAGCAAACTTTTGCGGGCTTTTTGTGCATCATCTTTAGAAGAGGCTTCCTTCTGGGACGACAGCAATGCAGACCAATTTGATGCAGTGTGCGGCGTATGGTTTTAGCACTGACAGGCTGAACCCCCCCACCCCTTCAACCTCTGCAGCAATGCTGGCAGCACTCATACATCTATTTCCCAAACACAACCTCTGGATATGATGCTGAGCACATGCACTCAACTTCTTTGATGGTGAGGCCTGTTCTGAGTGGAACCTGTCCTTTTAAAACCGCTGTATGGTCTTGGCTACCGTGCTGCAGCTCAGTTTCAGGGTCTTGGCAATCTTCTTATAGCCTAGGCCATCTTTATGTAGAGAAACAATTCTTTTTTTCAGATCCTCAGAGAGCTGTTTGCCATGAGGTGCCATGTTGAACTTCCAGTGAGCAGTATGAGGGAGTGAGAGCGATAACACCAAATTTAACACACCTGATCCGCATTCACACCTGAGACCTTGTAACACTGATGAGTCACATGACACCGGGGAGGGAAAATGGCTAATTGGGCCCAATTTGGACATTTTCACTTAGGGGTGTACTCACTTTTGTTGCCAGCGGTTTAGACATTCATGGCTGTGTGCAGGGGTGGACTGACAACTCATGGGGCCCCTGGGCAACAGGGGATCATGGGGCCCCTGTGTCCTTGCCCGCACTCAAACCACACCCAAAAAAGCCTATGAAAAGGTACCAGGGGCATCTCATGGGGCCCCCTACTGACCCCAGGCCCTCGGGCGGTGCCCGAGATCCTAAATGTTCAGTCCGCCCCTGGCTGTGTGTTGAGTTATTTTGAGGGGACAGCACATTTACACTGTTATACAAGCTGTACACTCACTACTTTACATTGTAGCAAAGTGTCATTTCTTCAGTGTTGTCACATGAAAAGATAGAATAAAATATTGACAAAAATGTGAGGGGTGGACTCACTTCTGTGAGATACTGTATGCACTTGGAACTTTATTAAACCCCCCAAAAATTGAATATGATTTTAGATATATTGCAGCTTACAAGATCTTGGATGTAGTGGCTGCTCTAGCTTTCTTTTTGAGCTTTTTTCTATTTTTTTTCATGTGGCGATCAAGCCAGTATGCCTGTTATATTTCAAATTTCTTTCACACCAAACTGTCCAGCAAAAGTGGCAGTTAGAAAGTTAAGACAAACCATTTAACACTGACAAGATGTTCATAATGTTAACCACTTCAATACCGGGCACTTTTACCCCCTTCCTGCCCAGGCCAGTTTTCAGGTTTCAGCGCTCTCACACTTTGAATGACAATTGCGCGGTCATACAACATTGTACCCAAACTAAAATTTTATCATTTTCTTCACACAACTAGAGCTTTCTTTTGTTGGTATTTAATCACCACTGGGGTTTTTATTTTTTGTCAAATTAACAAAAGAAGACCGACAATTTTGAAAAACAAAACCAAGTTTTTCTGTGTTTCTGTTATAAAAGTTTGCAAATAAATAATTGTTCTTCATAAATTTAGGCCGAGATGTATTCTGCTACATGTCTTTGGTGAAAATAACCCAAATTAGTATTTATTATTTAGTCTGTAGGAAAGTTTTTAGAGTTCACAAAACTATGGGATATATCTGAAAATTGATCAATCCTGAAGTACTGACAGCCAATCTAATTTCTTGATGTCAGAATAGTACAGCGTTGTAATTTTTTGTCATAATTTTTTCAGAAGCTGAAGAAATTAAAAAAATTATTCAGTTTTTTTTACATACTGTCACCAGTGCAGTACAGCGTCGTCATATAAAAGGCATGGTGGTGATAAGGGACACTGAATGGTGACAGTACGAAAAAAAAAAAGATTTTTTTTTTTATTTTTTATTACATTTTTTTTTCTCTTTTTTTTTTTTAAGATTTCTTTTCATATTTCACTATGACCAAATTAGTATAATATTACCATAGTAACATTGTACTACTTTGGGGAAGTGATCAGAATTTTTTTTTTTACACAATTTGCTTATAGCAAAGAATTACTTTGCTATAAGCAAGCAAATATTTACCTGAATGAAATCGATTCATTCAGGTTTTTTTTTTTGCGATTAGCTGTGATTTGGCCACGGCTAATCACATGACACAGCTGGGCTGTGAGTGGCCCAGCTTGTGCATGTGATCGCTGTGACCATTCACAGCTAGACATCCTTGTATACAATTGATGGCATGAAAGGAAGCCATCCATTGTATACAACTGTCATGTGACCTACTGCTATTGGTCACAGCAGGTCACATGGTACTGGCAACGGGGCCAGTACACAGATCTGCACAGGAAACTGACTGGAATTGACTGCACTGGTGTGATCTAAGGCCATTGAAATACATGGAAAACATGGTCCATGCGATTTTGATGCAGAAAAAAAAAAAACACTGAACCAGGTAAAACAAAATTTTGCTGTAGCTACTTAAAAAGTGTTAGCTGGAGTTTGGCTTCAATTTTTAAGGCAAAGCCAGGTGAAATAAAAAAAAAAAAAAGAGAACTAATGCAGCTACCATTTAAGAATTGATATGCTTCAATATATTAAATTTTTGTTTTTGGGTTTAATACCGCTGTAAGTACCAGTAGAGTTAGTGCTGGAAAACTACCTTTTTAATTACTTTTGTTTTTTAATTTACAGGGTATTGTGTACAGGAAAAGATGATTGATTCAGTTCAAATACGCCGCCAAGGGCCTATAGACTTTAAGTCCCATTATGAATATATGTGTGTTTTACAAGATTCCATCCCGCTGCAAGCTGTAAAGGTGAATCTACGACAAGATGCCCTTAACTTCAATGCAGATCGGATCCGATTAGCTGACTGGCCGCCCATTCTAAATACCTTGAAAATTAATAAAAGCTTGATAAGCGTATCTATAAAAAGCTGCCATCAACCAGGACTTGGAGAATCAGGTTAGAAAAAGTCACATTTTGCTTCCTGTAATATAATCTTTTCAAAAAGTACTGTATATTTATAGAAACATTTTTTGTATATTATGAAATAATACATCTCTCTTTCCTGGAGAAAGTGGGAAAAAAATCTCTGAGGGAAATCTCTTACAGAGAACGGATTTTCCCAGTGGGGACTCAAGCTTCCCCCACTAATCTAAAGCAAATAGAAAAGTTTTAGATGTTTTGTAATTTCATTCTGAAGTTGAAAATAAATGATTTGTGATTCTTTCTAGATTGGGAGCACTGGTTAAAGGATGAGTTCACCTTTTGTAACATGTTACAGCCGTATTTAGTGTTTAACATGTAACATGTTACAATATAGCACCAGCCAGAGTTCTGTGAATGAATGATCTACAAGTAGAATCCACTCTTGCGGCAGACGACTTGTAGTTCTCAATGGACTACGAGAGTGCTAGTGAGCCCTGGGGGAATAGGGGCTTCTTAAACTCATGACTTGTGGTTGCGGTTAGGTGAGCTTCACAGAATTCTTCTGCCAGTCACCAGCGACATTTATAGGTGTCAGAAAAGATGTTTGTTTCATTCTTATGTCCTTCTGGTTGTTGTATCTCACCAGTCTGGGATTAAATTCTAATTTTACTTGCTGCCTAACCTTGTGGCGGTGCCTCCAGCGCCCTACCCCATCAGTCACGTCAACTTTGTGCATTCTATAGTGGTCTTAGGAGTCCCTTCACTCACTATTGTGTGATGCTGATACTGCATACTCTCTGGTATACTTTTTTTTGCCCTCGATGGGCAATCCATGTTATCATGGGTCCTAACGGCCCCTTTTTATATAGACTGACTGGTCTTTTATGACTGAACCTAATTTTTGTCCATAGTTCACTCTTGGGGGTTGTCCCCAGTGTTCTGTTGATCACATCAGGTTTGAGCTCTTTTCTTTCTTATTTGGGAATTTTTTGTTGTTCCACCAACTTTTTGGTGGGTTTTGGTTGTTCAGTTTTTTCCTGCTTCAGGTTCAATGTTCCCTTTTGTGTGGAATCTGGTGGTGTCCTTCTCTATCCTGGTCTTGAGCATTTGGGAGCCTGCTAGTGGTTGTTGTTGTGCTACCTGCACCTCATGTGGACTGCTTTAAGAAGTCCTGACAATATCTGAATTTTTGTGTCTCTGAATACTTGTGTACTTCAGTGGACTCCAAGAAGATAATTCAAAGGTAAGTACAAAAAAAAATCTGTTTTTCAGGATACAGTGGGGGATGAAGATAAAACAGATCTGATGAGCTCTGTGTAAATTGACGGTGCTATATAAGTACCTGTAGTAATAATATATTATGGAACAACAGAGTGCCTACCACACTGCAGCACGGAGTGCATGCAAGAGTCTAAAGACAATATAACATTAACATGCAAAAAGAGAACCTCATACTCAAATTAAATGAGACTTTCAGCACTTTTGGTCCAATGAATTTTAAGAAATAATTTGTGATATAATTTGGTATCGAAGTAGTGTTGTCAGCACAGTAATAATCACATGTGTTTTGTCCTTGCTTACCAGAATGCTGTGTGAGTTTTTTTCTTCAGCACCAGACTTTCTAATGCCAAGTTTAAATTTTTTCATGATTTGAACTGACAGATTCTGAGAAATATGGAATCCACTTTCGAAGACGTATTCCACCTATTCGATCAAAGGACATGACTTTTCAGCTATGCCGAGCCCTTGCAGCATGTTTGCGTGTGTCAAACTCTTTGAAAGAGGTGGAGCTCCATGGACTGCCATTAAGGGAAAGAGACTTGCGAACGTTGGCTAAGGCAAGTATTTTAAATACTAGTGAGTACATCTATTTCCACAATACAAAGATTTGGACAAATATTTGTTTTAAAAAAGTGTTCCAGTTTTGTTCTGTTTTTCTTTCCTTCACCCTTTATAAACTAGCTTGGGCCAAATTTGGCACATTATAATTAATAGAGGGATTGCTTAGACATATAAAAACTGTGGTTTAATTAAAGTTGGGAAAATATAGTACTTTTTAATATTTTTTGTTCAAATTATGTCACATTTTTTTTGCCATATTTTGATAGCCTGCCACAAATGTGTTTGGTGCTGCAATGACTACCAGGCTACTTCTGTCCTAGTATGTCTGTTCTTTGTTCTTTATCTGTTTGGGACTGGGAGCATTTCTTATTTTCTTATTGCACACATGTACACGGTATACTTCTTTTTGATATATATTTATAATAAAGATGTATTCTTTCAAATTAGATTTTATATTATGTGCAGCATTAGTAAATTTTATAAGGGGCAAGACTACTGTTTTTTTTTTTTTTTTTGCCATAAAATAGGCTGGACCACCACATGAACCATTTAAGGCATTTTAGTTGTATTTTTCAGTTTGGCCCTGGAGGGAAGCTGGTTTTGGTATAAAGCTCCCCTTGTATCATTTGCATGGTGTACAGTGCCTTGCAAAAGTATTCATACCCCTTTAAAATTTTCCACATTTTGTCATGTTACAATCAAAATCGTAAATATATTTTATTGGGATTTTATGTGATAGACCAACAGAAAGTGGCACATAATTGTGAAGCGGAAGGAAAATGATAAATGGTTTTCAACATTTCTTTACAAATAATCTATCTGAAAAGTGTGGCATGCGTTTGTATTCAGCCCCCCTTACTCTGATACCCCTAACTAAAATCTAGTGGAACCAATTGCCTTCAGAAGTCACCTACTTAGTAAATAGAGTCCACATGTGTGTAATTTAATCTCAGTATAATTGCATCTGTTTTATGAAGCCCTCAGAGGTTTGTTGGAGAACATTAGTGAACTAATAGCATCATGAAGGCCAAGAAACACATCAGACAGGTCAGGGTTAACATTTTGCAGAAATTAAAGCAGGGTTGAGTTTTAATAAAATATCCCGAGCTTTGAACATCTCACAGAGCACTGTTCAAGCCATCATCCAAAAATGGAAAGTGTATATCACAACTGCAAACCTACCAAGACATGGCTGTCCACCTAAACTGACAGGATGGACAAGGAGAGTATTAATCAGAGAAGCAGTGAAGAGGCCTATGGTAACTGGAGGAGCTGCAGAGATCCACAGCTCAGGTGGGAGAATCTGTCCACAGGACAACTATTAGTTGTGTATGCCACAAATCTGGCCTTTATAGAAGAGTGGCAAGAAGAGCGCCATTGTTGAAAGCTATAAGAAGTCCCATTTGCAGTTTGAGAAGCCATGTGGGGGACACAGCAAACATGTGGAAGAAGGTGCTTTGGTCAGATGAGACCAAAATTAAACTTTTTGGCCTAAAAGCAACACTGCACATCAACACACCATCCCCACTGTGAACCATGGTGGTGGCAGCATTGTGTTGTGGGGATGCTTTTCTTCTATCACATAAAATCCCAATAAAATACATTTACATTTTTGGTTGTAACATGACATGTGGAAAATTTCAAGGGATATGAATACTTTTTCAAGGCACTGTATATTAGACTGAGGGAGGTAGTGATTGCAGAGTCAGTACTGATCCTCATGCAGACCTTTTCAAGTCTTCTTTGTGGCTTTCAGATGGTTTAAAGATTCAGACTGAATGGGGCCCCAGGTATTCTTAAGTGGATAAAGGCTATTTTTCTAGTTTTGGCTAGATATGGAAAGGGATAGAACATCTTTTTTTTTTTTTTTTTTTTTTTTGCTAGAGTAACCAGTGTTTTATACATCCAGATTTGGAGATAGGCATGTTCCTGCTATTCGCAGGTTGATTTTTTCATCACTATTAAATGTTATGTGTGCTTAAGCGTAGAACCTCTTTGAGAGCAAAACATTAATTAATAGGCTTTCTTTTGCTGTTTACCTGAATCCTAAATGGTAATGATAGGTAATGTTTTTTTTTTTCTTGCTAAAGGGTTTGGCTGCCTCAAAATCTTTGGAGAGCATGTCATTGCCATATTCATCATGTGGAGATGAAGGACTAGAAAGTGAGTATTTACTTTGATGACCAGATCAGTATTTTTTTTTTTTTAAGTTGGCTTTGGTTTAATATAAAATTCTTTCTTTCTTTATTGCACTCTTTGTTTTATCATTTTTATTATGGTACTAAACAAGAACATATCACGAGAGGGCTGTATAAGGCACATTTGGTACATCAAACATTTAGCAGCAATACAAGTCTCATGAAATAATATCATGGGTTTGAAAGGTTCATAAGGAAGAGAGCCCAGATATAGCACATCAAAAATATGTCTTTCAAACAGGTTGTGAATCTTAAATTGGTTCTTAAGGTTAATTTTTTTTTTTTTTGTAAAAACAACAAACGTGTATACTTATCTACTGTGTGCAGTGATTTTGCACAGAGAAAGCCTGGATCCTCCTCTTCTTAAATCCCCCCACAGACTCTCCTGGCTCCTCCTATCTGTCAGGTGCCCCCATAGCAAGCAGCTTGCTATTGGGGCACCCGCTGCCCCATGTTTCCATTCACACAGGGAGCCGCAGCTTGGCCCCGCCCCCTCTCTCTCATCATTGGCTGACTGGCTGTGATTGACAGCAGCTCCCACTTGCTGTCTCAGCCAATGAGGAGGCAGAGGCTTGGGATAGCTGAGGCTGTTATTCACATTGTTGGATCTCGATGAGGATCAGGTAAGTTTTGAGGGGACTGAGGGACCTGTTGCACACAGGTTTTTTTACCTTCATGCATAGAAAACTTTAAAGTTATGTCATCACATAATATCTCATAAATCCATATATATGATTGAGTAGACCAAAACATGGGTTCATCAAGCCCATATATAGACCCCTAAGTGTCTTTGCACTAATGTTTACGGGTTACAGGTAACAAGTTGTGGCGGAGGAAAAGCATTGGTGCTTTCGGTATTGTCCTATCTGTGAATTTTTGTGTTATCTCATGGTCTTTCTGTCCAGAAATCTTGTTGGGCCATGCAAGACCAGAAGATTCTTGTACACATTTCCAGCATGTTGCTGGTGAAGCAGGGTAGATAGCATGGGATACTGTTGGGGTATGTTACCAGAGAGTGACAATCTTATAGCCAGATTCCTGAAGTGTATTACTTTTGGAGGATTTATATGACATGGTAAGTACCATATGAGCCTGGAGGCTTCTTACCCCTCTAGATCTTTTATGTCCAAGGAGCAGGAATGAAATGATGCGGGGAAGTGGTTTTCCTGAAGGGTCATGGCCTCATCTTGAGCAAAATGTGTATCCTGGAGAAAAGCCACTTGGTCATTACGCCTATGAATGTCAAGTACAATAAGACAGTAATTGCATATGTCCACATTGTAAATGATTAGTAGTTCAGTTGGCCAGATAGGCGACGTCACAGCACTCCATGGCCTGCATGTTCCCCCTAGTGGGGTCCACAGAGCCTTATCCTGAGCAAAATGTGTTTCCTGGAGAAAAGCCATGTGGGCATTATGTTTATGAATGTCAGTTAAAATCATTCTGTGTTTTTTTTTTCCAAATATTGCATCCTGGAAATATTGTTAAGATTAATCATATTTTGAGGGTTCAGGTTGGAGGTTAAGGGTTGATAAACATAATGTGGAAATGATAGAGTCTGGATATGGAGAGCATTGCGGAGCAGGGGGCCGATCGACAATACCTAGTGTACCAACTAGTCAACAGGGAGGAGGCGGGTTGAAGTGGGCTTGGGTGTGGGTAAGTGAAGGAGATGAGGTAAGGAACTGGTAGGAATAGGGAAGTTAAATGCTTGCGGGACAGAAAGCAGGTATAAAGGTAATGGGGTGTTCTGTGTCTCTGAATAGGTTGCAACCCTAAGGGAAGGTGAACTAGGTATTAGAGGGGAAAGCCTTTGTCCCTGGTTAGACCAGCTGCTGACCAGGGATGGCCTACATGGATGAGGAGTCAAAACATCAGGGAGTGGGATGGCCAATATATAGGTAACTCTATTTGCAGAGGTGGGCTTGGAAGCACAGTTACTGCCCAGACTGAAATTATACCTAGGAGAATACTAATACTGGATAAGCTGAGAGCCGGTATCCAAAATTGCTAAATGTGAGACTGCCGGCAACATCTCCTTAACACAAGGAGGCTCTGTCTCACGGCAGAGAGTTTCCCCTGAAGAGAGGGGTCCCTACCCACAAGACCTTACAGAAAGGGAAAATGTCCAGATATATAACATCAGTTGTTAGAGCCTGGGCATGAGGAGAGTAAAATGTAATCCTTAACCATTATGAAACAAGGAACAAAATGGAATCAGTAAGCTAGAGCAGTGGTCTCCAAACTGTGACGCATTGTTTACTTTTATCCAACCCTTGAGGCACTATTTCATCCACTGATACCAACAATGGGGAATAATTCCTGCCCACTGACACCAATGAAGGGGCACAATTCCTCCAAATGACACCAGCAATTGGGATGAATTACACCAAAGACGGCGCATTGTTTTTCCCCACTGACATCGGGACCTTTTCTACTCGCAATGGCCAGTCTGGTCCCCTAAAGTCTGAAGGACAGTAAACTGACTCCTTGTTTAGAAAGTTTGGAGACCTCTGAGATAGAGAGAAAGCCAGCTGGCTAACTATTTTTAATATAAATCAGAACCCCCGTCGGGGGTGTGAGTAAGGAAACATGGATGAAGTATGGTAGGCATGAGGATCAAGACTAAAGGTGGGAGGTAGTATAAGACAGTAATTTCATACCATGTCCCCACTGTAAAGGATTAATAGTTCAGTTGGCCTGATGGGCATTCCATATTTGGGTATCTAAGTGTGGAGATGAATATAGCCCTCGCCATCACAAATGGGAAAAGAGTGGTCTCGTGCTTCACTGTGATGCCTGGAACATAGAGTCGGTATCATTTCAATACACTTTTTAAAATACAAACATAGTGGTACAACACAGCTTAAATTAAGATTTAGTTTGAGGACTCTTTAACCTTGAAGGACAACCTCTGATATAAACTGTAAGAAATATAAAAGTTTTCCATTCCTGAGGACAGCTTCCAGTTTAGAAACCGCTCCCAGTGTGGGCGACGAAAGGTCTCACCTGGGGTCAGGGGTCCCCAGCCAGAAGCCAAGACACAGAGGGTCTCAACCAGGGGTCAGGGGTGCCCCAGCCAGAAGCCAAGACACAGAGGGTCTCAACCAGGGGTCAGGGGTGCCCCAGCCAGAAGCCAAGACACGGAAGGGTCTCAACCAGGGGTCAGGGGTGCCCCAGCCAGAAGCCAAGAAACAGTAGGTCTCTTCGAGGGGTCAGAGGTGCTTCAGCCAGAAGCCAGGAGACAACAGGTCTCGTTTTAGGAGTCAGGTCGGCTCCTCTCAGGGTTTGAGGAGAACCCCAACCCATAGGCCAGAGGTGGGGCTGTGCAGCAGGGTGCTGCGACTAAAGGTTAGAGCTCCAGGAGAGCTGGACAACACAGTCAAAGGGGCTGGTGATAGAAGCAGCAGTGCTGCCAATAAGTGAGCCAGGTGGCTCTGTATTTTTGTTTGTGCATATTGTGTAGAAGAAACCCTTGTATGAGCAACTGATGTATATGTGAACTTTTCGTTTGAATAAAAGTGGGCTTCCATGCCCTAAAATACAGTTTTGGACTAGTGCAACTCATTGTAAATGCACCTACTGTTTAATTATAATCACGCAATTCCTCAGTAGGTTAAGTGGGAGAGTGATGACAGTGAACAGGGTTCTGTACATGGAATAAAAATTTATATACCCTTGGGGTTTCCAGGGGGTGTAATATTCGTTCCCAGAGCCTGCAGTCTTACATCTGTTCCTGTCATGAAAGGGGTCCTGAGAGAACCACTGCTCAATAAACTGTTAACCTGCCAAGATGGGAAGCGCGAGTTTCAGTTAACGGTCTCCCACGACATACAGTGCCTTGAAAAAGTATTCATACCCCTTTAAATGTTACAACCGAAACCGTAAATATATTTTATTGGGATTTTATACGATAGACCAACACAAAGTGGCACATAATTGTGAAGAGGAAGGAAAATGATAAATGGTTTATAACATTTTTTTTACAAATAAATATCCAAAAAGTGTGGTGTGCATTTGTATTCAGCCTCCTTTACTCTACCCCTAACTAAAATCTAGTGTAACCAATTGCTTTTGGAAGTCCCCTAATTAGTAAATAGCATCTACCTGTATAATTTAATGTGTAATTTAATCTCAGTATAAATACAGCTGTTCTGTGAAGCCCTGAGGTTTGTTTGAGAACATTAGTGAACAAACCGCATCATGAAGGCCAAGGAACACACCAGACAGGTCTGGGATAAAGTTGTGGATAAGTTTTAAAGCAGGGTTAGGTTATAAAAAAAAAATATCCCAAGCTTTGAACATCTCACGGAGCACTGTTCAATCCATCATCTGGAAATGGAAAGAGTATGGCACAACTGCAAACCTACCAAGACATGGCCATCCACCTAAACTGACAGGCCAGGTAAGGAGAGCATTAGTCAGAGAAGCAGCCAAGAATGCCCATAGTAACTCAGGAGGAGCTGCAGAGGTCCACAACTCAGGTGGGAGACTCTGTCCACAGGACAACTATTAGTTGTGCACTCCACAAATCTGGCCTTTATGGAAGAGTGGCAAGAAGAAAGCCATTGTTGAAAGAAAAGCATTTGCATTTTTTGAGAAGCCATGAGGGGGGACACAGCAAACATGTGGAAGAAGGTGCTCTGGTCAGATGAGACCAAAATTAAACTTTTTGGCCTAAAAGCAAAACGCTATGTGTGGCGGACAATTAACACTGCACATCACCCTGAACACACCATCCTCAACGTAAACCATGGCAGCATCATGTTGTGGGGATGCTTTTCTTCAGCAGGGACAGGGAAGCTGGTCAGAGTTGATGGGAAGATGGATGGAGCCAAATACAGGGCAATCTCAGAAAAAAAACCTGTTAGTCTGCAAAAGACTTGAGACTGGGGCAGAGGTTCACCTTCCAGCAGGACAACGGCCCTAAACATACAACCAGAGCTACAATGGAATGGTTTACATCAAAGCATATTCATGTGTTAGAATGGCCCAGTCAAAGTCCAGACCTAAATCCAATTGAGAATCTGTGGCAAGACTTGAAAATTGCTGTTTACAGTCGCTCTCCATCCAATCTGACAGAGCTTGAGCTATTTTGCAAAGAAGAATGGGCAAAAATGCCAAGCTGGTAGAGACATCCCCAAAAAGACTTGCATCTGTAATTGCAGTGAAAGGTGGTTCTACAGAGTATTGACTCAGGGGGGCTGAATACAAATGCATGCCACAATTTTCAGGTATTTATTTGTAAAAAATGTTGAAAACCATTTATCATTTTCCATCCACTTCACAATTATGTGCCACTTTGTGTTGGTCTATCATATAGACTTTTTTACATGATGGTCTATCATTTTACATTTTTGGTTGTAACATGACAAAATGTGGAAAATTTCAAGGGGTATGAATACTTTTTCAAGGCGCTGTATGAATCTCAGCTCTTCTCAAGGTGAATTTCTCAAGCTGAAAATGCAATTGCCAGCTTGGATGGAAAGTTAAATGTGTGTGTGTGTGTTATGACAGGAGGAGACTGTCACTGTGAGGAGATAGGAAAATGTGACACAGGATTCTACGCAAAATGTGTTGTTCCAGACTAGTGGTTCTGGGCAGAGAAAGCCGTGGATCTGGTTTTGTTCGGATTCTTGCAGTCTGGCTGAGTACACAGCTGTGAGGTGTCGTTATATACTCAGGTCTGAGAATAGCTCAGGGGTCCCAGTTGGAGACAGCTCCCAGTGTGGAGGGCAGAAGGTCTCATTGGGGGTCAGAGGACCCAGCCAGAAGCCAAGAGACAGAAGTCTCTGTTCCAGGCGTTAGGTCTGCTCCTATCAGGGTGTCAAGAGAACCCCCCCCATCCATAGGCCAGAGGATGCTCATGCAACAGGGTGCTGTGACTAAAGCCTATAGAGCTAGTTATCCAGGAGAGGTACTGCCAATTAAAGTTGAGTGAGGTTATGAGCCAGAAGGCTTGGCATTTTCTACTGTTTGCCTTTTTTTGCTAAAGCTGGAGAAAATCCCATGTGCGAAGTCTGTGAACTTTTGCTATCCTTTTAAATAAAAGTGGGCTACTAAGCCCTTAAAAATAGTTACTGTCTGCCACGGACTCACTATATAAAACGCATCTACCACGAGAGCTAACTACCCCATGTCAGAGAGCATGTTTGTGTGTGTGTACCTGTTTTTGATGCCATCATCCCAGTACTGTTTTTTAGAGCCGATGGTTGGCTTTCTTGTAATGGCAAGCAGTGTGGCTAACTAGCAGCCCGATTGCTAATACAAGCAGTGAGAGGGGGTGTCCCCCACCCTCTTGCCACCTTCCGCAGCTCTAACGGAATCGCCTGTCCCACCGACCAGCCTGTGCTTCTACGTTGGTCCCGCATGCACACAAACAGTGATCATCACACACATGAGGTATCACCATGAACGTCAGATCATGGGCAGTAATTCTAGCACCAGGCTTCCTCTGTTAATGTAAAGTGGTAACCTGTAAATTCTTTTAAAGCTCCTCCTATGGATCGTAAAATTACACTGTGTGCCGCCATTGCACGGGCGTGCCCCGTTATAAAGTGTGACATGTTTTGTATCTATTTACTCGGTGTAACAGGAACTTTTAGTTTTTTTACAAAAAAATTGGGTTATGTATTATGAAAAATAAAAAAACGGTATTTTTCCCCAAACAAATTGCGTTTTAAAAACCGCTGTGCAAAATACCGTGTGACATAAAAATTGCACTACTCGCCAATTTATTTTCTAGGGCCTCTTCTTTAAAAATTTTAAATGTTTGGGGGTTCTAAGATGTTTTCTAGCAAAAAATACTGATTGTTACATGTAAACAAAAAGTGCCAGAAAAGGCTTGGTCTTAAAGCAGATCTATACAGTGCTGTAAAAAAAGTATTTGTCCCCTTCCCCTTTTTTTTTTTTTTTTTTTTTTTTTTTTTTTTGTATACTTGACACACTTAATCGATTCAGAAAATCAAACACATTTTAATATAGCACAAAGATAACCCAAGTAAATACAAAAAGAAAGAAAAGCTGTCCAATCCTGACTGGCCCTATGTGAAAAAGTATTTTTCCCACCCCGTTGCTAAATCATGAATGAACTGTGATTAACCACATTTTTTGGAAAGTGAAGTTAAATTTCACTTGCCACACCCAGGCTTAATTACTGCCAGACCTGTTGAATCAAAAAATCACTTAACCACTTGTCCTCAGGAAGATTTACCCCCCTTAACCACTTGAAGACCAAGCCTTTTCTGACATTTTTTTCTGTGTGCTTGAAAAAAAGCTAAGGCCCTAGAACATAAAATTCTAAGTGTTGAAATTTTTTATGTCACAGTATTTGTGCAGCGATTTTTCAAATGCAAATTTTTTGGAAAAGTACACAATATACTGCCCAATTGTTTGATAAAATATAAAAGATGATGTTATGCCAAGTAAATGGATACCAAACATGACATGCTTTAAAATTGCGCATGTCTGTGCAATGGCAACAAATTAGGTTACATAGTTAGTCTGGCTGAAAAAAGACAAAAGTCCATCCAGTTCAACCATAGAAAAAAAAAAAAAAATTTATAATCCTATGCCCAGAGATGATCCAGAGGAAGGCAAAAAAAACCCAAGCAAAGCACACGATCCAATTTGCTCTTGCTGGGAAAAAAATTCCTTCCTGATCCCCCGAGAGGCAATCGGATATTCCCTGGATCAACTTTACCTTTAAATGTTAGTATCCAGTTATATTCTGTGTATCCAAGAAAGAATCCAGGCCTTTTTTAAAGCAATCCACTGAGCTGGCCAGAACCACCAACTCTTGAGGGAGTCTATTCCACATTTTCACAGCTCTCACTGTGAAGAAACCTTTCCGTGTTTTGGAGATTAAATTTCTTTTCCTCCAGACATAAAGAGTGCCCCCTTGTCCTCTGTTCTGACCTCAGGGTGAATAGCTCTACACAGAGTTCACTATATGAATCGCTGACATATTTATACATGTTTATCATATCTCCCCTTAATCTCCTCAAGAATTTGTAATATCCATAGGTGACGCTTTAAAAGCCTTTAACCACTTCCCGTAAGCCCATGTATATAAACGGCGAGATGGGAGCAGTGCAGGGGCGGGTGGCTGTTTATAAACGTTCCCGCTTCCCTGCTTGTGCGCACTGCCTAGGAGCGCGTGGCACCGCAATCCGATCGCTGTACGGGACCTCTGTGTGAGGTCCCAATCATGTGATCACTGATTGGCCAATCAGTGATCACATAATAGTAGCAAGCAAAATATCACTTCTGAAATCATTGCTTACTACTTGTGAAATCTGTGAATAATCACAGAGCTCACATGGTACAACGCTATTCACAACAGCCTTATACCATGTGACAAGCTGTTACCAATCACAGCTCACACAGTATTTCTCAATGGCTGCAAGAATGCAGCCAGAGAGAAGGAGAAATGATTGCTTTTACAGCCTTTATGGGTGTAAAAGCAATCCGTGTTAAGAAAAAAAAAGCAAAACCTTCATCACCCCCCACAAGTAGTACAGTGTCACTATGGTGACCGTATGTTAAAAAAAAAACCATAAATAATAAAAGAAACATTTTATTTTTACTAAACAGATAACTGAATACATTGTATCCAATATTTATGAGGAAAGATTATTTATTTGCAAAATTTTATAAGAAAAACACTTTTTTAAAAATGTTTGGACTTTTTCATTTATATAGCAAAAAAAAAAAAAATCCCAGTGGTGAATAAATACCACCAAAATAAAGTTTTATCTGTCTCAAAAAAAGCTAAAAAATTAATATGGGGACAGTGTTGCATGACCGCGCAATTGTCATTCAAAGTGTGATAGCGCTGAAAGCTGAAAATTGGCCTGGACAGGAAGGGGGTAAAAGTATCCGGAGTTGAAGTGGTTAAAGGTCATCACTTTAGATTTACACAGGTCTAGGGCTAGAATTACTGCTCTTGATCTGACGTTTGTGGTGATACCTCACATGCATGGTGCAATCTCTCTTTACATACTGCCCTGGGACCACTGCTTGCATTTGCCTTTGCACGCGAGCAGGGGGGTGGGGGTGAAATATATTTTTTTTATTATTTTTACACTGTACACTTTTTTAATTTTTTTTTTTTTTTTTTTTTTTTTACAATCACTTTTATTATCACAGGAAATGAAAATATCCCCTGTGATAGCAATAGGCAGTGACAGGTATTCTTTTATGAGAATACTTACCAAGATCGGAGTGATCAGATTTATTTATTTATTTATTTCAGGTACTTATTTAGCGCCGTCAATTTACGCAGCGCTTTACATATATATTGTACATTCATATCAGTCCCTAACCCTCAAGGGGTGTACAATCTAAGGATGCTTTCCCAATTTTAAAATGGCGCTGTATATATCCAGCAAAACGGAAATGATGAAATGCTTGTAGTTTCTGGTCTCTTAGACCAGGGGTCTCCAAACCAGGGTGGATAAAAATCAATGATTTTTAAAAAAAAAATCAAAAAAAAAATCGGATTTTTTTAATTTAAATTGGATTTTTTTGATTTAAATCTGATTTTTTTAAATAAAATGCTTTTTGAGGAAAATATTACCATCCAAAGGTTATTCCATCATGAAATAAAGATTAGTTTTTTAATTATGTAGAATAAGGCTGTATATGTTTAATTTTTTTTTCATGTAGAAAACTAGGATTTAAATCAAACCTTACTGACTAGTGATTTAAATCGTGATTTAAATCAGTTTGATTTAAATCAAATCCACCCAGCTCCAAACTATGGCCCTCCAGGTGTTGAGGAACTGAAAGTCCCATGAGACGACAGCCACAGGGCAGAGGCATGATGGGACTTGTGATACTTCAACAGCTGGAGGGCCATAGTTTGGAGACCCCTGTCTTAGACCATAGAGATGATTGGAGGCATTCCAGTCTCAGATCGGCTCTATTGTCAGCCAGCTGCATTTTTGGGTTCCCCAGTGGGATGGGGGAGCCCAAGAAAACCTTGGAAGGCAGCAGGAGGGGTGGGGTAGTCCCTTCTCGTTGCTTGTAAAAGCTATCCAGCGGCTAATTAGTGGCTTGGATTGTTTTTACTTGAAAGCCGACTGCCAGCTGAAAAAAACAATACCAGGATGATGCCTGTAGCTGCAGGCATCATCCCGGTATAAACCACTCAAAGTGCAGTGAAGTACCTGTATGTTGCTGGTCCATGTTGGGCATATATGTAACAGCAGACAACATGGGCAAATGATGAATTGGGTCTGTGGACCAATATGACCGCAGTTCATTCATTTTTGTAATGCCACTGTTGAGGGTTAGGCCCAAAAAGGTTTTAAATTCAGAAACTGTTATAAGTTTCCATGTGAATTGTCTGGCAAGAGCTGAATTTAGATGGGTGGCGATGTATTGCTGTGCATATAAATTGCTTTGGCCCACAATCAATTCATACAAATTTTCCATGAAAAGGGGCTAAACGCTAGTGCTGGCAGGGATCGGGGCCAATCCTGCTAATACTGCATTTTTGGGGACACTATACAAAGAAGGTACTAGTATAGTTCTGTTGGTGATCAATATATTAATCCGTACAAACACTATACTAGTAATGGCGGTGATTAGCAACCTCTAGTGTGAGTGCAATTGTCTACAGGCAATTTAACGCTAACTGACCCTGGCTGGGAGGGGTGCTAACTGACCCTGACGCTATGTGATGATGTCGCTAGAGGCAGTAATACAGTGATCAGTGAAAAATTCTATATACTGACACTGTACTAATGGCACTGGCTGGGTGATGGGGTAATCAAATGGTTAATAGGGGCAATCAAAGAGTTAAATGTGCTAATCTAATGTGTGCATTTAAATGTGCTTTTACTCAGTGCCCTGTTTGTTCTCTCCGTGGACAGCATAGGGAGCAGCGGGGGGGGGGGGGGGGGGGGGGCATGCATGCGCACACACACCTGGAAATAGAGAGCTGTGTAAGATTGTTGCTTTGCCCAGGGATGCTGCTCGCCTGTACATTGTTGGCAGGTGGGCAGCAAGTAGTTAACAAAAGAAAAAAAAAATTCTCTGTTTCTTTTAAAACATAATTTTTTTTATAATAATACTTTCATCAGAGTAATGCAGTGTTACCATAGTAACATTGTACTACTTTGGGGGGTGATCAGGAATTTTTATTTTATTTATTTTTTTTTTTTACACTTGCATTGCATGAGCAATGAAGATTGTTGCTCTGCAACGCAGAACATACTTTGAACTGTCATGAATGTATTAAGTTCATGACAGTTCAATACATTTGTGATCTGTGATTGGCTCCAGCTGGTCGCATGGTACAGGGTACTCCGATTGGCCCCATGTGTCATGTGAGAGCTGTGGACCAATCGCAGCTCTCCAGAAACAAGCAAAGCATTTATGAATTAAATTGATTCATAAAAGGTTTATCAATGTGATCGCATAGCGATCACGTGATCAGCGGGTCCTGATTACTGGCATTCTCATTTTGCTGTGTCTGGTGGATACAGCACACATGGGGGGTTAGGATTGACCAGACCAGCAACGTATGGGTACATCGCTGGTCCTGTTGCTGCCGCCTGTCTACAGTACATTGCAGGCAGGCGGCCCGTCTAACAAAGTAAAGCATTCTAAAAGATCTCAAGAACAACATATCATGCTGAGATATAAAGAAATTCAAGAATAGAAGAGAAACAAAGTAATTGACATATATCAGTTTGGAAAGGGTTACATAGCCATTTCTAAAGCTTTGGGACTTCAGTGAACAATAGTGAGAGCCATTATCCACAAATGGAGAAAACTTGGAACAGTGGTGAACCTTCCCAGGAGTGGCCGGCCTACCAAAATTACTCCAAGAGTACAACGACGACTCATCCAGGAAGACCTAAAATAATCCAGAACAGCATCTAAAAAAACCGCAGGCCTCACTTGCCTCAGTTACTGTCGGCATTCATGATTCAACAATAAGAAAGAGACTGGGCAAAATGGCATCCATGGGAGAGGTCCAAGGTAAGAGCCACTGCTAACCAAAAAGAACACAAAGTCTTGTCTCACATTTGCCAAAAAAAATCTTGATTCTCCTTAGGACTTTTGGGCAAATATTCTGTGGACTGATAAAAGTTGAACAACAGTCAAACACGGTGGTGGTAGTGTGATGGTCTGGGGCTGCTTTGTAGCTTCAGGAACTGGACGATTTGGCATAATTGATAGAGCGGAGAATTCATGGTTCCATCAGAAAATTCAAAGGGAGAATGTCTGGCCATAAGTTCGTGACCTCAAACTCAAGCCCACTTGGGCAGCAAGACAGTGATGCAAAATACACCAGCACGTCCACTTCTGAATGGCTCAAGAAAAAAAAAAAAAATTAAGGTTTTGGAGTAGCCTAGTCAAAGCCCGGACTTGAATCCAATTGAGATGCTGTGGAATGACCTTAAACAGGCCGTTCATGCTCAAAAACCCTCCAATGTGGCTGAATTAAAACAAGTCTGCAAAGAAGAGTAGGCCAAAATTCTTCCACAGTGATGTGAAAGACACTGCCAGTCGTGCCAAGGGTGGCAGAACCATTTATTTGTTTTAGGGGGCAATTACTTTTTCACATAGGGCCAGGCAGGTTTGGACAGCTTTTTTCCCTTAATGAAATCATTTAAAAACTGCATTTTGTATTTATTCAGATTATCTTTGTGTAATATGAAAAATGTGATTGATGATCTGAATCATTTAAGTGTAACAAATTCACAGCACACACCAATCCACTTTTTATATTGCTTACTACTAGGACTACTAGCCAGTTGGCTTTAATTAGGCATACACTAACTTGTCTTTCACAAGGTGATCTGCACCGCAGACATGTCTCTGGAAACTTGCTTATTAAGCTCCCAGTCACATCGGTTGCGATTTGGCATTTGATTTGCATGCCAGGCGACTTGTAAATCGTAGGCCAAGTCGCACCCTATTGTCCGCTATTAGAGCGGTCATATCAGTGCGGTTTCCTACTTGGTTGGAGCCGCACCGATTTCTAAATTAGTACATGCACTACTTATGGAGCGATTTGCATATACATCTGTATCAGATGTCTTGCAAATCGCATTCTGAAATTGGCGGGTCCCCGTCTTTGAAATCGTGCAACTTCACTGTAAGTCGCACGATTTCAAAGCCGGTCTTGATGTGAACTGGGGCTAAAGCTCTTTTATTATTCTTTTACCAAGCACTAAGGTATTGATCCTCAGATATGATCTTTTTCAAGCATGGGTACCTAAAATTTTTGGTAGGTCTAAAAATACACTTTTGATTGGAAAATAAATTCAGTTGGTTAAGTAGGTGAGCAAGCATTGCATTATACTATTTAGAGCAGCAAAGGAGGTCACGTGGCATAAATTGAACAATGAATGTGCTTGCAGGTTGTCCCAGGGGTCTGCCATTTTGCAGCAAACACTTGTATTCCTCCTGTCTTTGCTAAATTCTTAAAATTATGATAAAATAGAAGTTGGGTAATAATTTTTGCAACACTATGTTTGCGAATCTGTTTTTTCCTATAGCCTAGTAAATGGATGTACTGCAGCTTTAACTCTTATACCACCTGTCAGCACAAATCTGTTTCACAGTAGCCTCTGACCTCACCTGTCTGAGAAGGTTCATGGAAAGTTATGTCCAGAATAATTTGATTCTACCTAATTATGCAGTACATTAATTGACTTTGGGTTCAATCAAAATGACTTGGCATCACAAAGAGATATTTTATGTACACTCTCTGATCATCACAAGCTGCTTTGCTTGTGTTTTAAAAAAGAGCTTGAGCTGTAGATTGCACAAGCAATGGACACAGTGAGTCATTCTCGGCAGTATTTCCTCCAGTGACTTGCTGCTTTTATTTTGAGGAATTCATATCTGCAGTTTCCCGGTTTCCATGGAGATCAGAGGAGTATAAATTTAAAATTGTATTTTTGAATCTGCAACGCCTTGTACAATCAGCTGTTTGATGTACTGCAGTATGTGAATTAATGAACTTTAAATGGAGCAATCACTCTGTAAAGAACAGCACAGTCTCCCATCTGTGAACTCTAATCCCATATCTTTCTAATGCATTCTCATCTGTCCATTTCTAGAATTCTTTAAGAACCTTTAATGTTGTCAAGTTGCTGCCTTTGCGTTAAGCATGGTATTAAAGTGCCAGTCCATCTAAACGAATATTTCAGTTTTGGGCAGATGGTAGAAGGCTCAATCAGCCATCAGTGAGGGACCCCAACATTAGGATCTTTCAGTGCTGCCTTCCTGCCATGATCATTAGAAGCTGGTCTCCTTCTCTATGATAGATGTTACTTGCAGCATATTTTGTATTATGGAGAATGCAAATGTCTGTGGTTTGAGATGTTTGCTGCAGTAGGACACTGAAGATACTTTGTGATGCTAAGTGTGGGTGGGGTGAGAGGAAGAAAAAAAGATTAAACTATGAAGTTCAAAACAATTCTTAACCACTTACCCTTCTGTGGATTTAATCCCCCCCCCCCACCCCCTTCCTGACCAGGCCATTTTTTGCATTACAGCTCTGCGTTACTTTAACTGACAATTGCATGGTCATGCAACACTGCAACCAAATTAAATTTACGACTTTTTTCCCCACGAATTTCTTTCTGTGGTATTTGATATCCTGTGCGGTTTTTATTTTTTTGCGCTATCAAAAAAAAAAAAAAGGCCAACAATTTTGAAAAAAAATTTATATTTTTGACTTTTTACTATTAAACATGTCCAGTAAAAATTTTTTAAAAATCATAAATTTAGACCAAAATGTATTCTGCTACATGTCTTTGCTAAATACGTGTAAATTAAATGGTTTACGTGAAAGTTATAGCGTTTACAAATGGAAGTGTATATATACTGGGATTTTTTTTTTTTTTTATTTTTACTAGTAATGGCGGCGATCAGCGACTTATAGTGGGACTGCAGAACTGCGGCGGACATTCTGTCACTAGGGGGGAACTGACTTGCTGTCACTGATGTCACTGACATCCCCAGTGACACCAATACAGTGATGAGTGCTAAAAAAAAAAAAAAAGCACTGACACTGTAGTAATGGCACTGGACAGGAAGGGGTTAACATGAGGGGTGATCAAAGGGTTAACTGTGTGCTGGGTGTGTTTTATTGTGCGGTGGTGTCTGTGTGCTTCACTGTAAGCACACTGCTTTGGATGGTTGTGCTGTGCACAGCCATTCAAAGCAGTGTGCCCAAGTTGACAGGGAAGTAAACAAAGCAGTGCTCTTCCCCGTCGGAGATCCTTGGTAATCACCGGGCGCGGGCGAGTAATCACCGGCCGCAAATGGCAGCGCAGGTAGGGCACGTGCCCCCTACCCGGAAATGCAAAATCACGTATATGTATGTGATTTTGTGCACCCGTGCCACCCTATAGCATTATTTCTGTTATAGAACTGTCGAGATCCTGTTCATTTTCATGTTCCTTCAAGAAAATTTTAATTATATCTAACTCCAAAACCTTTTTTCTGTAAGGATAGGAGAACCAAAAGAACTAAAACTCCTCATTTATTTATAGTTGTTGGAAAAAGTATCTTCATTGGAAGATTTTACCTCTATTCTTGTTCTGGGCACAATATTAAAATTTTGGATTTTTCTTAAATTGCAGTCCTGGTGACAGAGGTTACCAAGACAAATAGACAATAACAACTTCACAGGGGTTCCAATCTTTTCCTACTATATTCAAAAATGGGGAAAAAAATGGCTGTGTGTGCCAGACTTTCCATTTGTGCCACAGAAAAAATATACAGTATCTTGTTCTTATTTTTTCCTTATAACCTTTTTCATTTCATGTTTGTTTCATGTATGACATTCATTTTACTTTCTCTTTCTAATTATGAATATTCTGTCTTCTTGTAGTTATCTGTCAAAGTGTGAAGAATTCACCAACCATCAAAATGATTAATTTCACTGGATGCAATCTCACATGGCGTGGAGCTCAATTTATTGCCAGTATTATCAAGGTGAAATAAATGTAAACGTTTGCGCCAATACAATGAAGAATCAACAAGCAGCACAAATAAGACATAGATAGATAGTCTCTGTAGACATTTTTTAAAGCAAACATGAACGTCTAAACACCTCCCTGAAGGTCAAAGTGCAGACAAATGTCACACAAAAGTGAAAATGGGTTGGCCCTCGTGAGAAAAAAAGCAAAGCCTTGATAATATAACGTATCAAATTTGAAATGCCTTCCTAGGAAATCCTGCTGTACCAGCATGTATTATGTAGATTTCGCAGTGTACTCATATACAGACCAGCAACCTTTGTTTAACCTGCACAGAAACATCCAAATAAAGAGACTAGGAGGACTCTAATAGTCTAAGTAATATTTTAAAAGGCTTTTTTCAAGCAGAAAATTTATATACATCTAAAAACCACCATCACCGGTGATGGCAGCATGTGACACCACTGTTTCCAAATCTTTGCCTAAGTTACACCTTGTGCATCTTGTCCTATGGGATATCATCAGGAGCTGTAGACGCTGAATTAGTATGCAGATTATGTATCACTTGCCACCACAAAGTCCTTCCCCTCATGTACGCATATACCGTTCAAATTTTAAAAAACATTTTGACAAAGTGAAAGCATCCTCAGGTTGCTTACTTAGAAAGCCATGACAGCGAAACATATAGAGGCAGTCAACATGTCCACCATATCCGGTTTACGTATTATAGATCCTTCCGGTAATTGGCATGCACGCCGGCTCCAGATAGCGGAGCTGTGGTGATACCCAAGGCTGATTGTATTGGGCACTAGAAAATGGGAGTACAATTCTTACTTATATTCTTTGTACATGTCAATTCTCTAATAAATTGCTTTATAAATTAATTTCTGAAAATCCTTCGCTCTATACCCTTTTTCCAAAAATCTCGATTTCAATATTAGAAACTCCTTCATATAATCATCTTTAGATGTGCAGTTATATGTGCAGCACAGGCTGGTAAAACATATGAAATATATTCTTTCATCTAATGCGCAACTAAAAATGTGGTTTATATGTTGAGGTGCTCATGTGGTTTAGAATATGTTGTACGCAGCACATGGACCCTATATGTTTGATTGGGTGAACATATTGCCAACATCAAAAAGGGCTACAAAGTGTGTCTAAACATTATGCTTCGAAGCATAATAACAGTCCTGTGGGCACCACATTCATTTCATTGGAGAAATATGTACCTAACTGGAGAGGCAGTAATGCCAAGAGAACTATTTCTAAAGCTGAAACTAGCTGGATTTATCGACTTAAAACTTATACCCCCTTTGGGTTTAAATATAGAGTGGGATATTAAATGCTTTATTAACACCAGTTAATTATATATTTTTGTGCCTATTGCATTTAATGGGTGTCAGATTTTAATTTATGTATCTGTATATTTATGATATATTATGTTTATTAAGGATGGATCTGGGCAAGGAGGATCGTTATAAATGAATGTTTTTGTTTTATTATTAATTTTAAATGTAATAGGTTTTTTTATTAATCCTTGCCAGGTTAATTCTATTTACATTTTATATTTTAATTTTTAGTTTTTATTCTCATTTTCATATATGTATTTTTTTTCATAAGATGTCCATTATGCACTTACATATTTTTGGCCACAGGTTCGTGCTTGGGTATATTTGGGGGTTGGGTATATTATTGGGGATATTTAAATATTAGCATTGGCTTTAGTTTGATTTTTGTTATCACGAGATGGCACTGAAGAGGACACATGCCTTGTGAGCATCATTTGTGAATGATTGAGTACCAGGCCTAAGGTGTTTGGTTGCACCCCGTTGTGATCTGTTAACCTATGGTAGCATTCCTCGTTGGCCGCTTCCTCCATTTATTTGCATGGAGCAACGTGTGTTCGTGCCCATGATCGATGTCGTGTATGACAAAATGTGTAGGGCGGAGTCATGCACACACGCTACCATGCATGCGCAACTAACCGGTGGCCATCTTTGATGCTGGAAAGCACTCCTCTGGCGTTTTTTACATGCTGAATTTATTTCTTATCATGCAAGTGCAATTTTATCCAATACATTTTTTCAATACTGGTGGTTTTACACTATTTGGAACATTTCTCTATTGCACGTATTTTACGGCTTAATTGATTTCATATTGGAGGGTCTGAAATCAATATTTAGGAGGCAGTTTAGACATGCAACAATCTCTGTCACTCTTTCCGACTGTCTTTGGAGGACCATTTTATACCCATGATGTTACCAATATCAGATTAAAGAGTGTTGATTGACCATTCTTACTATGGGGTCACAATCCTTCCGGTAAGCCTTGCATTCGAGTGGATAGTGTGACACTGGCTATTTTGGAAGTTTCCTGATTTCATCACAGCATGTGGGACTGATTTTATCTGATCTCCATTACAGACTTTTAAACACTGTTTAATTATTTAATTTCACTCATTGTATAACTCTCACTTGTGTGATTTTTCTGTTTATTATCAGTTTGGTTTTCATAGGTTGAGCGCTGCACTGTTTGTTTTAAACAATATCTGTAATGCCTGGTATCAGGGTATAGTGTTCAGCTGCTATTTGTTTTAGTATCAACATCTTTTTCTTTCTGAACACAGATTTTTTGGGGTTCTATCCGTACAGTGAAGGAAATAAGTATTTGATCCCCTGCTGATTTTGAATGAATGAATTTCAAAAGAAATGCATGTCTAACAAATTATGCACTGATTTGCATGTTCATGAGGGAAATCAGTATTTGATTCAGCAGGATTGCTGGCTACCAGGTGTCTTTCATACAGGTAACAAGCTGAGATTGGAAGCAGTCTCTCAGGCTGGCCATACATTATACAATTATCTTCCAATTTTCTGCCCAATTTCCTTTAGATTTACCTTCAACTGTTTAGTGCAAGGGCCTGCCTAATTGGATACAACTGAAAGTGTTGTTTAGGTTTGTCCTCCTATTATATGGTTTTTGGTAAATCTAAACCAAAAATCTCCAGATAATTGTATAATGTATGGCCAGCCTTAAAGGGAGTGCTGCTAATCTTTTTGTTACCTGTATGAAAGACACCTGTCCACAGGAGCAATCAAACAAACAAAAACTAAACTCTCCACCAAGGCAAATACTCTGGTGTGAAATACATGCTATTCTGTCTCTCAGAGTTACAATACAACTACCAGTCGATTTTTAGACTGATCATTTCTTTGTGAGTGGGCAAACATTCAAAATCAGCAGGGGATCAAATACTTATTTCCTTCACTGTAATATCCTCTTTGGAAGACTTTTTACCTTTTAAATGTTTATACTGACTGAGAGGTTAATTTTAAAGTGGAAGTAAGGGTTAATATACTTCTGCTTAAAAACATTATCCATCCTCCTTCTTTCTATGGTGCTTACCATTTATAGAAAGAGAATATTGTAAATACATTTTTTAAATTGGCTTTGCTGCGGTAACATGATCAAGAAGCTGTGGATTCCCTGTGACAGCCAGTGGCTGCTGTAGGGGATGGGATGAAACTCCTACAATGAGGTTCAGTGGAAGCCAGTGGGTGATGACACAGCTCTGTGAATTCAGCCCCATTGTCAAGCGCTCCCTGACACAGGGAGCTGCAGCTTCTCGATCACTTGACTGCACCTAACTTGATTAAAAAAAGGTATTTACACTGATCTCTCTTCACAAATGGTATGCAGCATAGATGTGAGGAGACAGAGGCATTGTTTTAAGCAGACTTATATTAGTCATTACTTCCACTTTAAATATTATATTTTCTAAACCTAAAAATAGGCGATCAGCTGCGTTTGTCAGTCCCAACTTCAGTATGTTGTTGGGAATAAACCATAGTACAGTAAAATAACCAGAGACCCTCCATTTTCCATGCAATAGTATACTATTTTTGTATGGATTGTTTAGCAGGGAAGTAAAGAAAAGCAGTGTATACTTTTACGTTCCTTCCCTGCTATATAACTGCTCTACTGTAAATCATCTTTCTAAAAATTGAATTGTGGCATGACTTCACTGAAGATTAAACTGGGCATGTGGCCCAGGTTATTATTTTTGTCCTCTAATTATAAAGTGCAATGTATGATGTAGAGCTGTATTATATATTTCTGGTATTCTGTCAGCATCAGGCAACAAGGAGGCACAGTGAGGCCTGGGCAGAGAGCCTGAGATATAGAAGACCTGACCTTGACTGTATGAATGGATTGAGGCGAATCTCTCTCAACTGTAATACTCTTGTTGGTGATCAAGGAGCAAAGGCATTAGCAGAAGTACTGGGAGAGGATCTTTGGTTAAAAGGTAAGGGTAAATGTAATAACATAAATATGAAGTCACAGCTAAAAGTGACAGTAAACTCTGTTTAAAAAAAAAAAAAAAAAAAATATTCAAGTATGTATTCTTAAAGCAGCCTTTTTCAACCAGGGTGCCTTGAGGTTTCTTCAGGGGTGCCTTGGCAAAATGTCTAAAAATTGCCCAAAACTTGTATACAAGCCAGCGGGTGGAACAAGCCTGCCTTTTTATTTACACAAAGCCACAGGTTTTCATTGTGCACCATTGCGACCTTCTAGCCACCAGCGTCCTAACAACCAATGACATCATAAGATAAGGATGCTGGTTGCCTGCACAGCATCCTTGTTTGCCCCTCCCCTGCCCCTCTCTGTCAGCGCTGGGGTCACATTAGCTCAGTGATAGAGAAACATTGAATACTAATCAGTACCAGTGTGCAAAAGTGTATTTGCTTTGGAAGACTAAATCACCTCTAATGCTGGATATCCTACATGTGTGGATATTGCTGTGTTATATAAAACTATTAGGATTGTTTTTTATATTTTACAACAGGGTGCCTCAAGACTGTCCATCATTTTAAAGGGTGCCATGACTGAAAAAATGTTGAGAAACACTGTCTTAAAGTATAATCCCAGTCAAAACCTTGCTAAGCCAAAATCTACTTTCACCCCTATTCTAAGCCTGTTCTATCTGCCCTCGAAGGGCTGGTTGTATCTGTAAGACTAGATGATCAGAGCACCCCCCCCCCTTTACATCAGATGTCAAGAGTCCCCCCCCACCCTCCCTTACATCACAGCACACCTTGTGTTGCTTCCGGGAAGAAGCTTAAGTCGGAGCTGGGAAGCTGACAGTGCAGGGTCTGGAGGAGGACCAGAGGAGGGCTGGAGTTAGCTGCGAAGACCAGGGAAAGCGGCAATGAGGGGGTGCTGTGGCTACACAGAGAGGCCCAGGATGAGTTCTGTCCTGCTCTTTCCTGCTGACTTCTGAAGTGGGGGTGCAGACACAACCCTCTTGATGGCATAAAGAAGCGCAGAATGTGGTGGAGGAGTTCTGTCCTCTCTGCTTCTGACTGCTGAGAGGTGGGGACAGAGACGAGGGGGTGTTGCAGCTGCAGAAGAAATAACATGAGGGGCTGGATTAGGCCTGCAGGCTTTGTGTTTGACACATGTGCCGTAAAGGAAAAATGTCTATACTTGCCTATTCAGAAGTTGCTCCAGTCTGGTCACATGACATTTCCAGTGCTGGTTTCAGTGCAGAGGAGAGGCATAGACAATGGCTGCAGAACCTGGGCGATGAAATCACCCTTAGACTTACTATGGGGCTTCCTTTGTCGGCTGTCCCTCTTCAACACTGAAGCCGGCGCTGGGACCCGATCATGTGACTGGACTGGACCAACTTCAGAATATGTAAGTATAGACATCTTTCCATTTACAGGGTAGGTAGAATAGGCTTCAAATAGGTGTAAGAGTAGATTTTCGCTTAGCTAGGTTTTGACTGGAATTACACTTAATTTAAAAAAGTGCCTTCTAATTCTCCCAGCCTCCTCCGAATCTCCATATTCTTTTTTTTTTTTTTTTTTTCTTTTTTTTCTTGCTGTAATCAGACTTCCTGTTAGAGGTTGGCTGTGACCTCAACTAAGGTGCACTACTCATTTCAGTAAGCAGAAGTGAAGGGGAAAATGAGATGTTTGAGAGCTCATAGAGGATGTTACATGGAGGACAAAGAATACTGTAAGAATTTTTTGTTATTGGAAAATAGATTACAGGGCCATTTAACAGTAGATTTGTATGGATCCATTTTGATAGAATAAGGATATTGTTTAGTGTCATTTTAGATATTCTATCTTCCTGGCCAATCCACATGCATTGTGTATTAAAGCATTACTGAAATCCAAAACTTGGTCTAGTAGAAAGACTTGCCATTCAGTGGTCCAGTTAGTGATTGGCTTTTCCTCTGGGGTAGATATTGAACACCAGTAGGGTCTCTTCATTTTGCATGGACTTATCTTTATGTATGAGAAAAGGGACTTAGACGATAACTGATGTTTGTTTAAAAAATTATCATGACCCTTTTAGCAGTATGTTATGATTATTTTAAAATTACTTTATGTATTTATGATAAAATAAAGTATCACTTTAGCAGCACCGCAAACGTTTTATCCTTAAGATGTAAATATATGACTGTATATTGGGGCAGAAACAATAGTAATGGAAGGAGTGGGCTGAAGTTGAAAAGACACTATCTTGAAAAATTAATGTGCTTTTATAGTATTCTGAAAATTTTGGCATGATAGTTATACCTAAAGTAGCAATTTAAAATAGAATAGTTGATTGAGTTCAGTGATTACAAACATCATTCTTTTGATAAAGGGCCCTTTCAAATTGATCAGTTTTTCAGTAAAAAAAAAAAAAAAGCAAAAGAAAAATTCATCCCTTTAAATAATATGGAACTCTTCACACTGGTCAGTTGAGTTTTGCTGCATGTTAGGGCCCTTTTAACACTGATTAGTGTTTGATCAGTTTTTTGGTTACAAAACAGAAGATTATACGTTTTACTGTGTTTTATGTAACCGAGCAGTGTGAAAGCAGCCAAAAAATGCAACTGAAATGCAACTGGCTGGTGTTAAGAGTTCAAAAGGATTTACAGGGATGTTTTTTTTTTTTTCATGCCTTTTTTTGTTTTCCACTTTTTTTAACTGATAAACTGATCAGTGTGAAAGGGTCCCAAGGTGGCCTCCTGAATCCAGCTCCTCTTCTGACAAGAGTTGAGGGAAGTCCAGAAGAGTAGAGATGAGAATTTATGTATGTGAACCACTAATAAAAAATAAAAAAGTTAGGGAGTAACGCTGGGAATCTAAGGACTTTGTTTTTATTCTGCATCAGAAACACATGGATTCCAGTGGCCCTAGCTCACACCAGTTCAGTGTGTTCCAACTCTGTCAACAAAAGTAGAACATGTTGTGTTTTTTCTGTATGCCATGTGCCAGAGCCAATATGAGCCAGATATACTGCAAAGATAAGAGACTAGTTGATTCACCCCTGATTGTGCTCTGTTCAAGACTGTAAAATATGCCATAGGCTGAAAAGAAGTGCAGCCAAGATTGGTTTTATTAAGGGCTTGTTCACACATTTGGCTGAGCGCAGTGGTTGTTGGCAGTGGAGTTGGGTTTGAGCGCCGCCTTAACCTACCACAGTGGCCACAGGGGGTTGTGCACATGCTGCAGCAAACATTACTTCTGCTGAATGTGACTTAATAAAGTGAATGAGGCCAATGTTTCAACCATCCTGTAAGTGGGTGCAATGCACACGGTTGTGATACTGTGCTGTGGGCTGTGAGGAGGCAACATACTGCAGATCGCATTTCATAGGGGTGGAAAGTGCTGCTGCCAGTGTAAGGGTGGATTCTCTTACCTGCATTCAGGGTCGATCACTCAAATAAGATTACTGCTGAAGTGATTACATGGCTCAATTGGCTGTGAGAGCCAGCAGCCTCCTTTTTGCTTTCAATGGGGCTGCCTACTCGCAGCTAATATCTGGAACCCCCACCAGTGGTTCTTGGAGCTGATCATACACAGGGTGCATTTGCAAGTGTGAATGCACCCTAAACGAGCCCCATTGAGGATCTGTTATTTCTCTGATCTTTGTTGATAAGGATGAGGTTGTGTGGTTTTACTTCTTTACCTATAGTTCGTAGTCATCTTAAGGTTTTTTTGGTAATTTATTTTTGAGGTGGCTTTCAAGTAAAATCTCTAATATTCATCTGTGTGATTTAATATAAGAAAGTGATATTTGTTCTATTTAAATTATTTCTTTAATGCCCCTTTCTCTCTTCTAGCGCTAGATATCAGACAATGTGGAATAACCAATGAAGGGGCAAAGGCTTTCCTCCACGCCTTGCAAACCAATACTACTCTGATGGTTTTGGATGTAAGAAAAAACCCACTGATCGGTATGGCAACTTAGTCTCTTGTATAAACAAATTAGAAAAAAAAAAAAAAAGAATTTTCAATTGGTAAAAAAATTCAAAGCAAAATATAGAGGTTATAGTTTGTAATTCAAAAAGTTATAACCAAACTAAATTGGGAATCCAGCTTTGTAATCTGAAAATTAGTTTTTAATTAGTTTGTTCAGTTTGTTCTTACCAAGCTTGTATATGCTTTAATATGGAGCTTTTGTTTAACTTTAAAGTAGGACTCTGCTATATTCATGTCAACTTTTTTTTTATTTTTTTTTTATTATGTTTAAGCTTAACATTGCATGCACGACAAAGGTTTCCATAGCACTGAGTCTTCTAATGCTCAAGCACAGTAGTTGTCTCCAAACAGACATTCTTTCTCCGATTGAATCTCTGTACGGAGCTGTGCAGAAAGAATGGAGTTGAGTTGCTGCTCTGACTCATTTCTTTGTGTGTGTAAATTTTCAGATTTAGCTACAGAGCTCTGTAAAAGGCTTTTTACAAGAGGCGGTATGGGAAACCTGTAATTATAACGGACTCTAATGCTCCTAGTGCTGGCATAGTATAGGTATCTCACAAAAAAAGTAGAAGTATCTTCCTTCTACAGGATACTTAGTATAGGTGTTAAAATTTGGGTGGGAGCAGTTGAAAGATTAGTTATTTCTATCCCGGACTTTTACTTTTAAGAATAAAGAAAAAAAAATATGTACATACTCCATGTCTATTTCTGTTTTTTTTTCTTAGATCATGAACTACTGAAGACTGTTATTGAAAGAGTGTTACTGAATTCACATGACACAAATTCAGAGGTATGCATCTTAGATAAATAAAATACAGTTTAACAAGATTCTCTTTAATTTTTTGAGTTGTGTTTTATGAATCCTGAAAATTCACTTAAAGTAGTAGTAAAGTCAGCTTTTTTTAATTTATACCTACAGGTAAGCCTGTAAGACTTACCTGTAGGTACAGTAAATATGTCCTTAATGTGCACCGTTTAGGAGATTTTTACTTTTGTAGCAGCTGGTAACATCACCAGTGCATGTGCATTGTGCTGTCAATGGATGGTGTGCCAACCATTAACAGAGCTGTGCTGCAGCCAAAACACTCACATGCATGCGCGGGAGTGTTGTAATTGCAGCTCGGCCATGGCTGGAGCGCACAAATCTGTAAGGAAAATGGAAGCCCAGTCAGTGGTGACAGCACTGCTGGAAGGCTTTGTTTTAAGGGAAGTCTGTCATAGTGTGCTAGCATGCGATGTCAGATTTGACAAAACAATGGCTATCGCTCAAGCAAGACAAAAATGCAACGACTGAGCAATGACCAATAGATAGTGATGGTTTTGATCAACTCAAGTCGATTGGTTGTGGTGGAAAAATTTTTGATTGCTCAGGGTCAAACTATAATGTTCTTGACATACTTGTGAATCAATCCTGAAGATCAATCTACAGGTGAAACTCGAAAAATTTGAATATCGTGCAAAAGTTCATTTATTTCAGTAATGCAACTTAAAAGGTGAAACTAATATATGAGATAGACGCATTACATGCAAAGCAACATAGTTCAAGCCGTGATTTGTCATAATTGTGATGATTATGGCTTACAGCTCATGAAAACCCCAAATCCACAATCTCAGAAAATTAGAATATTGTGAAAAGGTTCAATATTCTAGGCTCAAAGTGTCCCACTCTAATCAGCTAATTAAGCCATAACACCTGCAAAGGGTTCCTGAGCCTTTAAATGGTCTCTCAGTCTGGTAAAGTAGAAATCACAACCATGGGAAAGACTGCTGACCTGACAGTTGTGCAGAAAACCATCATTGACACCTTCCATAAGGAGGGAAAGCCTCAAAAGGTAATTGCAAAAGAAGTTGGATGTTCCCAAAGTGCTGTATCAAAGCACAGTAATAGAAAGTTATGTGGAAGGGAAAAGTGTGGAAGAAAAAGGTGCACAAGCAGCAGGGATGACCACAGCCTGGAGAGGATTGTCGGGAAAAGGCCATTCAAAAGTGTTGGGGACTTTCACAAGGAGTGGACTGAGGCTGGAGTCAGTGCATCAAGAGCCCCCACACACAGACGGATCGTGGACATGGCTTCAAATGTCGTATTCCTCTTGTCAAGCTGCTCCTGAACAACAAACAACGTCAGAAGCGTCTTACCTGGGCTAAAGAAAAACAGACCTGGTCTGTTGCTCAGTGGTCCAAAGTCCTGATGAGAGCAACCTTTGCATCTCATTTGGAAACCAAGGACCCAGAGTATGAAGGAAGAATGGAGAGGCACACACTGCAAGATGCTTTAAGTCCAGTGTGAAGTTTCCACAGTCTGTGTTGATTTGGGGAGCCATGTCATCTGCTGGTGTTGGTCCACTGTACTTCATTAAGTCCAGGGTCAACGCAGCCGTCTACCAGGAGATTTTGGAGCACTTCATGCTTTCTTCCGCAGATGAGCTTTATGGGGATGCTGATTTAATTTTCCAGCAGGACTTGACACTTGTCTACACTGCCAAAAGCACCAAAACCTGGTTCAATGACCGTGGAATTAATGTGCTTGATTGGCCAGCAATCTCGCCTGACATGAACCCCAAAGAGAATCTATGCAGCATTGCCAAGAGAAAGATGATAGACATGAGACCGAACAATGTAAAAGAGCTGAAGGCCGCTATTGAAGCATCCTGGTCTTCCATAACACCTCAGCAGTGCCACATGCTGATAGCTTCCATGCCACGCCGCATTGAGCCAGTAATTGCTGCAAAAGGGGTCCAAACCAAGTACTGAGTACATATGCATGCTTATACTTTTCAGAGGTCCGATATTGTTCTATGTACAATCCTTGTTTTATTGATTGCATGTAATATTCAAATTTTCTGAGATTGTGGATTTGGGGTTTTTATGAGCTGTAATCCATAATCATTACAATTATGACAAATCAGCTTGAACTATCTTGCTTTGCATGTAATGAGTCTATCTCATATATTAGTTTCACCTTTTAAGCTGCATTACTGAAATAAATGAACTTTTGCATGATATTCTAATTTTTCGAGTTTCTCCTGTATATGTAAGGGCATGAAAATTGGTATTGCTCAATTTTTCTTTTGCAAATCTGCATGACTTGAGACAGTCAACACTGCCACTATCTCAGGGGTGTAGATAAGGGGGGGCATCAGTGGAGTCTAAACCCCCCCCCTTCCCTCCCTTCCTTCCTTCCTCCCATCCTTCCATCCACCTCCCCCCTTCCTTCCTTCCACCCACCAATGCAGGGGGAAGTGGGTTAACTTTTTATGCATGACCGCAAATGCAGAAGGAAGAATGGTGGGTTAAAATTTCACTGAGATGACCACCAATGCTTAGTGGATGGGTGATCCTGCATCCATCCCCATCCTGCATTGCTGATCAAGGCAGTGACATTTTAGTCCACCAATCCCCCTTTCTGCACAACCCCCCCATCTGCATTTGTGGTCAGCTAACACACCTCCCCCAGATTTGTTGGTCGTGGGGGGGTTAAATTTTAAATGCCATTGAATCTTAGCCTCCTCCACTGCCCAGTTGTTGATCACTTACCTGACCAGAGGTTCCCGCACTGCTCTCTATCCCTCCAGGCTGGCGCTTTGCTTGTACTGTGGGCGGAGATATCTTCACCCACAGTACAGTGTTCCCTTCACTGTCGGGTGCTGGAATACAGAGAGCGTTCAGGCTCGGTTACCGGTACATAGCTGTCGGACAGCTGGCAAAGTGGAAAGTATGCTTTCTCGCTGCACTGCATATCAGTGTGTGGAGGGGAGGGTCATTCTGAACCTCCCCTGATGCCTCCCCTTATCTGCGCTTCTTTACTTGATGGTGTCCCCAAGGCTGGTACAAGGGTTGTTGTCTATACAGATGCCCGCCCCCTCCGTTACCACTAAACATCAGTGTGTAATGAGGGAGCAGGGTTATGCATTCCCTCTTCCCCCTCATAGGCTATGGGCAGCTGGCAGGTGAGGCAAGCTAAGACTTCCACGCCAGAGGCGTAGCTTGAAGCTATTGGGCTCCAATCCAAAGGTTGATCTGGGGCCCCCCACTAATACCCGCTGCTTCACCCATGTGCTGGGTAGAAGCGGTGTGCTTGTATGTAAGAGAGGAAACTCAGAGAGCCTGACCTGGACCCCACCCTCAGCACACATCCCACCAGAAGGAATCCACCTGTGTCCCCTCCACTCTTTATCTAAGAACAAACACAACGTGTTAGACAGGGAGACCGCGATCCTTCATACTCCACCAATGTTACTCTGCGCCTGGTAGGAGAGAGGGTGCAGCATTCGGGAACACACAGGTATTTTAAAAATCAGAATCTCCAGCAAGTAGCTGGGGACTGTGGTTTTACCTCACCCCCTGTTCAATCTGGTGCCCTAGCCGCCTAATGCTGGCATCTGAATTGGGTGTAACCCCTCTGGCAGGTGTCACCTGAGTGTGGCCTGCACCCCCATAGCAACGCCACTGTTTTGTCTCACTCATTCACTGTTTGATAGTGGTTTTACAAATAGGACATCAATCATTCAGTTTTATTGCACTATGTATGGCCACCATTTATACATTTCCTCTGTAATTGATTAGAAGGAGCAGTATATTCGAAAAGCATGCCTCTTACTTTGTCCATCTATTGTAATGGAATAAAAGGTTGAAATGTGTTGGTAAATATGTAGCAAATGTGTGGAGCAGTATACCTCAGAAACCCTTTAGAAACAGCATGCCTCTTACTAATTGTCCATCTATTGTGAAAAGAAATGGAATAAAATGGTTGAAATGAGATGTTTTACTAATGGTAAATATGTAGCAAATGTGTGCCAGTGAACTCACCAATAAGATTAATAAAGCACTTACCTAAATCCTAGGTTATTCTTAAAGCGCTAGAACAAACCTTAAGACCATGTCACACTAGTGACCCTATCACTGCCAGCAACTCATCAATGACAGGATCATTTAGAGAGCAACCTGCTCCTAGGTTGTACGCTTCTTTGTTGGTTTGACTACTGCCTCCTTTTGACTTGGGCAATAGCTTCACTTTGCTGCTTTTTTTCCTTTAACTAATTTTGGTAACCTATACCAAGCATAGGAGTACCATTTTACTTGAATATCAGTTTTTTATTACATGATTTTTACCTGGTTAATTTATTGTTGAACAGAGTCATTCCATTGGTTGTTTGTTTCAAATTTGTTACATGTACATATATTCAAAGTTAGAAGTACATAAATGCACTTTAAACTATCATGAAAAAATCAGCAAACCTCAACCTTGCAGCTAGCACTCTATTAAATGTACTTCCTTAGCATAAAGACAAATAATTTCTTTGTATCACAACAGGTTTGGGATGACCAGAGTTTGGCTTTCTTTTTAAAAGAAAATGTGCTTTTTGGTTTAGAATTTTTTAGGCTGATTGTGTTATAGCTGTCCTGAACTCTCCTCAGACTAGGAAGGGAGACTGGCTCATTTTGTAGAACTCATCCTCTAAAGCTTATTCTTTAGGGAAGCAATACAAGAGTGTCAGAAGAACACAAGTGTTTTGCTCAGACAGGCAGTGAGTGCACTCTCGGCAAACAATCTCAGGTCACTGTGGACCCATTAAAGCGCACTTTCCTTGCCGCAGCATATGTATAGGTTACATAGTCGGCAAGAGGTTAATATGGCAATGCAGATTGCCATGCTAAATATATTTTGGTTGGCTGAGCATGACCTTTCCTAAAGCTTTTTGACTTCTTCTTGCCTCTCCCTGACTGCCTTGTCTGCATCAATACGTTGCAATTGAGATAAATTTCACGAGGTTAAAGCAGAGCTACAGACAAATCAATAAACAGATGCTAAAGCAGTACCAGATTATTTTGTATATTTGTTACTTCCTTATGTACCTTAAAAATTGGAACTCGTAGGCAACAGGCAAATGCACTGCTCAAATACGTTTATACTTGCTCTTTTCAAAGGATTTGTAACTTTGTAGAGCCACTCTTGTGATACACACAGCTCTGCATCCTGGGTGGTTACTCTGTTACTTCCTAATTTAACAGTAGTATTCTCTAAAGAAAAACTCCAACCCTACCTTTTAGTCTTTCACAATTGTATGGGCTCATCTCCTGTACTAAAATTGCTTACCCTGATTTTACTGCACACTGTTACCTTCACTTAACACTTATTGGATATAATCTGCTTTATTTCCTGGCTGGAGAACATTCATCATCATCTAGCCCATACCCCTGCTCCCCGGCCGGACTGTTCCTGTCATGGAGATTCAGCATCACATGGTGGAATTATCTAGAGATAAATTATTTACAGGACTCCACCCAAGAGCCAGTCCACTGCTTGTATCAGTGTTAAGAACTCTTGAGGGGAATGCTGAGGCAAGGTGCCGTGATGTTTAAAGGAAGCTGTGTGCAGCACCCTGCTGGACCCTCCCACCAGCTGTGGTCTACAATCTGTTGTGTAGAGAAGCACAGAGAACCAGTCACGGAGTCTGAAATAACTTCTGTAATGAAATGGAAAAATATAAAAATTTGATTGCATGTTGATGGGGGGGGGGGGGGGGGGGGGGAAACCAGGGAAAACAAAATATAGCAGATTAAACATTGCTCTAAAAGAGCAATTTGGAGTTAAACAGAAAAAAAAGATAAACTTACATACTCTCCTCCATGGTACAATATCGGTGTCATACTGCAGCTGTCGCACAAATTGAGTGATTACATGACCATTAATCAGTCAGCTGTCGGAATGCTTGCAGGGGAGAGCAGTAATGGTCACTGACTGCTCTTGGCTCTCCTCTGGTGCTCACTAAAGCATCAAACTGAGGAGAAGGCAGGGGCAGCTGGTTCTGGATCTTAACTATGCACTGAAAGGCAAAGCCAGCTGTTAATCTTAATCAGGCACAGGTGGGTGCATCCCGGCAATATTGTTGGGATTCCTTCCAAGTCTGGTGCAGCTCTGCCCCAGCAGCTTATAGCAGGAAATTGCCCACTATCAGCTGACTGGGTCACAGGACAACAAAAGTAAATGTACTCCTGTGACCTTCAAGGGGAGTACAGCCTATAAAAAAGCTTTGGCCATACTTTTATTTTTATTTATTTTTTTTAAGACACGTTTTACTGCTTCTTGGGTTAACTCTCTGCTTATTGAACAGAGGCGTTGATGGATGCTAACCTATGGTCTAGTAAGGCTGGTAAAACCGTAAACATATACAGGGGTTAGACACGTTTTACTGCTTTTTGCTCAGAGGCGGTGATGCTAACATATGGTCTAGTAAGGCTGGTAAAACAGTAAACATATAAAGGGGTTGACAAAAATGCAAACACTACATGATTTCCAGGTGTGAAAGTGATGACTAGCGGAAGTGACATAACATTCTTTTGCTTAAGACCCTGGTCACACTGGGTGTGACTTGGCATGCGAGTTGCATGCTACTTGCAAATCATATGCCAAGTCACACCCTATTGTCCGCAATTACAGTGGTCATATCGGTGCCACTTGATCAGAGCCGCACCAATTTCTAAAGTCGTACATGCACTACTTTTGGTGCGATTTGCATAGACATCCGTGTCAGATGTCTTGCAAATCGCACCTGAAATCGGGATGTACCACGACTTTGAAATTGTGCGACTTCACTGTAAGTCACACGATTTCAAAGTCGGGCTTGATATGACCGGGGGGATAAGTTGTTTGGTGAGACACCTAGCTAACAGGTGGGAAGCCTCACTTTTGTCATTCACTGCGTATACTGCTAGTAATACGTAGTCATCTCAGAGCTTACTGAGCTTTAAAGAGGGCAAATTGTTGGTGCTACTTAGCTGGTGCCTCTGTGACTGAGTTGCCGATTTATTTGCTGTGTAATGAGGTGCAGTATCAAAGGTTATGACCGCATATACAGCTCCGGGAAAACGTTGTCAGGTAAGCATAAGTTCAGTGGACATGGTCAGCTTGCCGAAAGAGACAAAAGGACATTGCACAGGATTGTGACGCGGAACAAGAAAACAACTGCTGCAAAAGTGACTGCGGAGTTCACTCTCAGTCTTCACGGGTTGCACTTGAAAATTGTAAATTGAAATGTTCACTGTGGAGTAGGCATCATCTGAAAGGGGATTCTTGCCTGATATGTTGTCTATCTCTTCTGTTTGGAATCTGGTCTGTGCGTCTTTTTATTTTTTAATTTTTATTTTTTTGCTCTCTCTGTGTTCTAACATTATATTCATATGGTTGTTGCTTCTTTAACTCTTGTTAAATTGTACTTTCAGCACACAGCACTTTACACTGTCTGTAGTTTGTATTATTATTATACAGGATTTATATAGCGCCAACAGTTTGCTCAGCGCTTTACAATATAACAGGAGACAATACACCAACAATACAGTTCAATACAAGAGGGTTAGGAGGGCCCTGCTCCTTGAAGCTTACAATCTAAGAGGGAGGGTTTATTGGTACAAAAGGTAATAACTGTGGGGGATGGACTGGTAGGAGGAGTAGAAGATTACATTATTAGCTGAGGGCAGAATAGGCTTCCCTGAAAAGATTGGTTTTCAGAGATCACCTAAAAGTGAGCAGAGTAGACGATAGTCTGATAAATTGAGGTAGAGCGTTCCAGAGGATGGGGGAAGCTCTGGAGACAAGCATAGGAGGAGGAGACAAGGGAGCTAGAGAGCAGGAGGTTGTGCGAGGAGCGAAGAGTACGAATTGGGTGATATTTGAGACAAGATTGGTTATGTAATTTGGGGCAGAGTTATAAATGGCGTTATATGTTATTGTTTTGAATTGTATCCGTTGGGCAAAGGGAAGCCAGTGGAGGGATTGGCAGAGAGGGGTGGCAGATATGGAATGGTTAGTAAGGTGGATGAGTCTGCCAGCAGCATTCATGATAGACTGAAGAGGGGATAGCCTGCGATGAGGAGGGAGTTACAATAGTCAAGGTGAGAGATAACAAGGGAGTGAATAAGTTGCTTAGTAGTTTCAGAGGTTAAGAATGGGCGTATATTGGAGATGTTGCGGAGGTGAAGTCTACAAGATTTAGACAGTGATTGGATTTGGGGCTGAAAGGACAGATGGGAGTCCAGGATTTCACCTAGCACCCTGGCATGAGGGGAGGGACTGATGGTTGTGTTATTGATCTTGATGGAGAAGTCAGAGGAGGGGGCACGGGCTGGAAGGAATACTAAGAGCTCAGTTTTGGAAAGATTGAGTGTGAGGAAGTGGTGTGACATCCATGCCGATATATCACTTAGTAGGTTAGTAATGTGAGAGGAGACTGAAGGGGTGAGGTGAGGAGTAGAAAGATAGATTTGTGTGTCATCAGCATAGAGATGGTACTTAAAGCCATGGGAGTTTATCAAGTGACCAAGGGAGGAGGTTTAGATGGAGAATAGTAGGGGTCCAAGGACAGAACCTTGAGGGACCCCTACAGAAATAGGGAGTGGAGAGGAGGAGCCAGAGTTATAGGTAAAGCTGAAGGAGCGCTGCGATAGGTAGGAGAACCAGGAGAGAGCAGAGTCTCGGAGGCCAAGAGAGTGGAGTTTTTTTGAGGAGGAGGGAATGACCAACAGTATCAAAAGCCGCAGAAAGGGCAAGTAGTAAGAGCATGGAGTAGTGGCCATTGGTTTTAGCAGTTAATAGATCATTCGTGAATTTTAGTAGGACAGTATTATTAATTTCTTCTATATAATGTAATACAGTCTGCAATCCAGCATTTTGAGTGTTCATTATTATCTGTGGTGTGCTCTCTTGTCCCTTTTTTGGGTTTACTTATAATTTATACATTTTTGTTTTTGACAGTACAAATGGTTCACTTCTCCATCTTCAAAAGGACCAAAACCCAGAAAACCCTCCAGTCTGCGAAATGGTCTGAAAGGGAAGAACATAATACGTATTGGTATGAACATACTTTTCATTGGCCATAAAGTGTCACTAAACACAAAACCCTTTTTTTTTCCGTTTTGGATAGCATGGGGAGGGATTATAAACCCTGTCAGGTTTTTACAGCTGTTTGTACCTCCATTAGGAAGAATCATCTTTTTTATTTGTTCTGTTTACTGTTATCACCAAAAGTGAAAGTAAAAGAAAATCCAAAATTTTGGGTTGACATCAGAAAATTAATAGCGGTGAATCCTCCAATAGGGGCACTAGTTCTAGTGACACACTGGGATTCCCTCACTTTTGGAGGGATTTTCTCTCACTTTCTGTTTTGGCTATGAGACAGGAAGTGAAGGGAAATCTCCCCAATGGGACACAGATGGCTAAAAAAAAGAAAACTGAGGTCATAACCCTCCCTTACTTTATCCAAAAATGGAAAAAAAAAAAAATATAAATTAATATTGCCTTTAGTGACATGACCTCTGCTGAAGGGGAGTAGCTGATTTTTCCCTTCCACAAAGATCACATGACTAAATGCCTTCTTACAACGTTAAATGCCTTCTTTGAACAGCGCCCATGCTCAGCTTGGGACCTGGAAGCAAATGAAGATCACTGAAGTAGTGGTATTTTTTTCAGAGAATTCCAGCTTCTAGGGGCATCAAAACTTGATGCGTTTCAATCATAGATCGTCTTCAGGAAGATGATCTTCAGAATGACAACCTATGATCGAAATGCATCAAGGTTTGATGACACAACTTCCACTGACGTCACATCCAGCTTATGGAATGCACGTCTCTCTGAGCAGCGCTTAGTACAGCGGCTTCCATACATTGTGGAATGCCCCAGAAAGCGTTATAGATCACTCTAGAAATAGATGTTCATCGGCTAAGGGTGAGTTCTAGTCCATGTGGGGCACTTTGTTGAGCACAGTGGAGCACTTTGATTTGACTGAAGAAACTAAGCACTTCAAGTAGGCTGGTGCAGGTGCACTTGTTTCACCATTTGGAACTTTATTAACGGTAACTTATGCTGTATGTTCTTGTTTGAAATATATGCATATGATTATATGTTTAATACTGAAGTGCGGTCCATTTAAATTTCATTACTGCATATACAGGCTGATTTTACTGTGATGGGTTTAGTAACCCTTTAAAGTATATGTCCAGCCAAAATGTTTTAGGTTTTCATGGAGTTGTATTGCAGTTTGAAACTCCTTTTAGATAGATTTCTACTCGCTTTCTGTCCCACTGACAGCAGTTCACCAGACAAGAAGTACCGTATGAGAAGCAAATAATTATTTTTTTTTTTTTTAAAAAATAGAGCATGGAAAACCTAGAACCTCCTTCAGCTGTTTAATTCCCACCTGCTTCCCTGTTGTAGATCTTTTTCCTCACTCCCTGTCTGGTGAGACCATTATCACCATTACAGAAAGTGGGGCAAGACATACAGGTGAAACTCGAAAAATTAGAATATCGGGCAAAAGTTCATTTATTTCAGTAATGCAACTTAAAAGGTGAAACTAAAATATGAGATAGACTCATTACATGCAAAGCAAGATAGTTCAAGCCTTGATTTGTCATAATTGTGATGATTATGGCTTACAGCTCATGAAAACCCCAAATCCACAATCTCAGAAAATTAGAATATTACATGCAGTAAAAACAAGGATTGTACATAGAACAATATCGGACCTCTGAAAAGTATAAGCATGGATATGTACTCAGTACTTGGTTTGGGCCCCTTTTGCAGCAATTACTGCATCAGTGCGGCGTGGCATGGAAGCTATCAGCCTGTGGCACTGCTGAGGTGTTATGGAAGACCAGGATGCTTCAATAGCGGCCTTCAGCTCTTCTGCATTGTTCGGTCTCATGTCTCTCATCTTTCTCTTGGCAATGCCCCATAGATTCTCTATGGGGTTCAGGTCCGGTGAGTTTGCTGGCCAATCAAGCACAGTAATCCCACGGTCATTGAACCAGGTTTTGGTGCTTTTGGCAGTGTGGGCAGGTGCCAAGTCCTGCTGGAAAATGAAGTCAGCATCCCCAAAAGCTTGTCTGTGGAAGGAAGCATGAAGTGCTCCAAAATCTCCTGGTAGACGGCTGCGTTGACCCTGGACTTAATGAAGCACAGTGGACCAACACCAGCAGATGACATGGCTCCCCAAATCAACAAAGACTGTGGAACAATGTGACAAACTCCTGCGCTCCTACCTAAAAACTAATACCTACCAACAAAGGTAAAGCAGCTACATACAGTCATATACCCATAGACAAAAAATATAAATGAAACACAAATGATGCAGCGCTACTACCATAAAAATTCTTCACACATAAATGAATAAGTGAAACAGTGCAAAATTAGTGACACAAATAACATAAAGACACAATATTAAATAGTGCCAAAAAACTCATAAATAATCACGTGTGACAAGTGTCAATACGAGGTCCTAAAAGGACCAAATAACATGATCAGTTCTTAGTTTATGCGTTTATTGGGATGCACGTGTGTTTTGTGTTATATGGTGGGAACTGATTTTTAGTTTCGGTGGGAGGTTTGTTAGCACATTGAGTCCTGTTGTGACTTACTTGTTTGATTTGGAGCACTATTGGATCCCATTGGATTACTTGGGACACCATGTATGTTATTTGGTCCTTTTAGGACCTCGTAAAGACTGTGGAAACTTCACACTGGACTTCAAGCATCTTGCAGTGTGTGCCTCTCCATTCTTCCTCCATACTCTGGGTCCTTGGATTCCAAATGAGATGTAAAAGTTGCTCTCATCAGAAAAGAGGACTTTGGACCACTGAGCAACAGACTAGGTCTGTTTTTCTTTAGCCAAGGTAAGATGCTTCTGACGTTGTTTGTTGTTCAGGAGCGGCTTGACAAGAGGAATACGACATTTGAAGCCATGTCCAGGATCCGTCAGTGTGTGGTGGCTCTTGATGCACTGACTCCAGCCTCAGTCCACTCCTTGTGAAAGTCCCCAACACTTTTGAATGGCCTTTACCTGACAATCCTCTCCAGGCTGCGGTCATCCCTGCTGCTTGTGCACCTTTTTCTCCCACACTTTTCCCTTCCACATAACTTTCTAATAATGTGCTTTGATACAGCACTTTGGGAACATCCAACTTCTTTTGCAATTCCCTTTTGAGGCTTTCCCTCCTTATGGAGGGTGTCAATGATGGTTTTCTGCACAACTGTCAGGTCAGCAGTCTTTCCCATGATTGTGATTCCTACTGAACCAGACTGAGAGACCATTTAAAGGCTCAGGCACCCTTTGCAGGTGTTATGGCTTAATTAGCTGATTAGAGTGGGACACTTTGAGCCTAGAATATTGCACCTTTTCACAATATTCTAATTTTCTGAGATTGTGGATTTGGGGTTTTCATGAGCTGTAAGCCATAATCATCACAATTATGAAAAATCACAGCTTGAACTATCTTGCTTTGCATGTAATGAGTCTATCTCATATATTAGTTTCACCTTTTAAGTTGCATTACTGAAATAAATGAACTTTTGAACGGTATTCTAATTTTTCGATTTTCACCTGTATTTCAGTAGACATGTCGTTTTTTTTTTTTTTTTTTTTCAATCTGCTTGCTTATTCATTTTGCATTTCATATACGTAGATATGTAGAAGCTCCCTCTAGTTTTTTTTTTTTTTTTTTTTTTTTTTTTTTTTTTTAAGTAAATGTGATTTGAATGTGCTGTATTAAACAGCCTTGGAACCCATTTCCACTGTTCTGTTTTACCCTTTTTTTTTTGGCGAGAAGGCAAACTGCAAAGAAAAGCATGTAGTATTGTATTTAATCGTACAGTTTCATCTTTGCGTTTCTGTAACAGGTAGTTTAGCAAAATGTATCCTGCGGTTTGTTTTCCACCCAGTGTTTGTAAAATACATACCTTATTGTTCTCAATAGTCTTATCATACAAACTGTAGAGAAGTGTATCTATAGCTTTGATAAGTTAGGGAAGGATTATAACCTTGTCACATTTTTATTGCTTTCTTTTCCCACTGGGGAGCTTCTCGCTTTCTAAATGCCCTGGTGACCACTGTTGCCAAGACAGAAAGTGCTGGGAAATCAAAACTTTTGAGTTGTCACCAGGCAAAAGGGAGGTTAAATCTCCCAATGGGGACACCTGTTCTGATGACAAATGTTTAAGAGTGACATTCTGGGGCAATTTAAGACTTGCCCTCACTTTTTCTTGGACATTAAGTGCAGGGTGTAACCCCTCTGTATTCTCTCAGCAAATGAAGAAAAAAATTATGTTGAGATATATATATATATATATATATATATATATATATTATATGTATATGCTTGGTAGCACAAATTGCTAATAAGCCAATTACAAGGGAGTAACTCAATGCATTTAGGCATTTAGATGTGGTGAAGATGACTTGCTGAAGTTCAAACCAAGCATCAGAATGGGGAAGAAAGGGGATTTAAGTGACTTTGAACATGGCATTGTTATTTGTGTCTGACGGGCTGATCTGAGTATTTCAAAAATTGTTGATCTACTGAGATTTTACTGCACAACTATCTCTAGGGTTTACAGAGAATGTTCTTAAAAAGAGAAAAAATATCCAGTGAGCAGCAGTTGTGTGGGTGAAAATGCCTTGTTGATGTCAGAGGAGAATAGGCAGGCTGGTTTGAGATGATAGAAAGGCAAGAGTAACTCAAATAACCACTCGTTACAACCAAGGTATGCAGAATACCATCTGTGAATGAACAACACATCAAACCTTGAAGCAGATGGGCTACAGCAGTAAAAGACCACACCAGGTGCCACTCCTGTCAACTAAGAACAGGAAACGGAGGCTACCATTCGCACAGGCTCACCACAGAAGATTGGAAAAACTTTGCTTGGTCTGATGAATCTCCATTTCAGCTGTGATATTCAGATAGTAGAGTCCGAATTTGGCATAAACAACATGAAAGCATGGATCCATCCTGCCTTGTATCAACGGTTCAGGCTGCTGGTGGTGTAATGGTGTGGGGGATATTTTCTTGGCACATTTGGGCCCCTTAGTACCAATTGAACATCGTTTAAACGCCACGATCTACCTGAGTATTGTTGTTGACCATGTCCATCCCTTTATGACTACAGTGTATCCATCTTCTGATGACTGCTTCCAACAGGATAATGCACCATGTCACAAAGCTCAGATTACATCAAACTGTTTTTTTGAACATGACATTGAGTTCACTGTACATAAATGGCCTCCACAGTCACCAGATCTCAATCCAATAGAGCACCTTTGGGATGTGATGGAACAGCAGAATCTCATCATAGATGTGCAGCCGACAGATCTGCAGCAACTGTGTGATGCTGTCATGTCTATATGGACCAAAATCTGTAAATCTGTAAAGAATGTTTTCCAACACCTTGTTCAATCTATACCATGAAGAATTAAGGCAGATCTGAAGGCAAAAGGGGGTCCGACCCCGTACTAGCAAGGTGTACCTAATATCTCAAGCAGAGATACAGTATATAATAATAGGATTTCTCAGAGGCTGCCAGATATTTTTTTGTCCAGCCACTACCAAAAATTGCCAGGCTCAAGTCTTACTCTGGACTTTCTTTGATTTTCAGTGTTTGTGTGGGTATGGTGGGGGCTGGGAGGCAGAGCTGGGTCAGCTGCAGGGGACTAAAGGGCATCTATACCTGAATTCTCTGACCATGTCTTTTTAGAATATAAACAAGAATGTACTTTTTGGATTTCATCTACTTTGAGAGATGTTTAGAATACTATCTAGTTTGTTGTGTAATGTTTCTTTTTACTTAGTTTTTACCATAATACGCCTTTAATCTTTAACGTTATTGAACTATATACCCTTATATAGCTGTGCATTTCTCTGCAGGATTTGCTACTAAGAAGCCCTTTGTTCCTGGAAGAAAATATACACCTAAGGAACTATATGCTCCAGAACCTAAGGCTGCAGGAGTCAAAGGATTTCTTCCATGGAGAACTGCAGAGAGAGCAAATAGACACAGGTAGAGGAAGCCTTTATCTTGAAAACTGTCCACTCTCCTAAAGTAAAATCAGCAATAAGTATTGAAACACTTGTGTTACCAAAAGCTGTGTAATGATTTTAAAGAGCCTTTCGGTATAAACAAAAAAGTGGAGTCTTAATTCTGGTCTATTTGCCTTTTAGTTATGTTTTATTTTGTATGTTGTATTTGTGGCAGTTTATGTAATGTTGGAAGAATGTGCTGAAGAGGAGATGTTCACAACGCATGATAGGAGGTCTCTCCATGATGTGATTTGGGAGAAATAAATTCTCAAATTCACCCTTCCCTGGCAAGATTAACGTCATATAGATTGTCCTTTCTTTAGAACCTGTTTATGCCTATGTGCTGCGTTAATGCATTTTACACGTTGGGATGATGCAGTTTGTAACTCAGAATGCCCTTGCATTTAATGCATCACAGCAGATCAGACTGGTATGAACGAGCCCCTAATGTGTTATTTTTCGTTACTTCAACCAGTCCAGAACTGGCGTCCATGTGTACTGTTGTGTCCTATCTATCTGTCTGTCTGTCTGTATGTGTGTGTGTGTGTGTGTGTGTGTGTGTGTGTGTGTATATATGTGTGTGTGTGTATATATATATATATATATATATATATATATATTTATTATATATATATATTTAGTTTATTTATATAACATATTATGGTTATATATATAATAATATATATATATATATATATTTTTATTAGTATTGGGACATCAGCATAACCATGGCAACTGCCCTGTTCCTTTAAAGTAAACTTGTCAACTCCCCTGCACATACCTTTTATAGACGTCTTCATCTTTGCCTCTCCATCTTGCTTCCCCAGTATCATGGGAGTTTGGAATATGTACATTTCATTGCTTCCTGGTAGTGGCGCCACCTTGCCTTCTTTCCTATCAAATAGTGTTGACGTTTGCAGGTTGCAGTGTCTCAGGATTTGGGCAGCTTAGATGGAGAACATGTCTGAAGGTTTGCTAGAGCATCTGCACTGTATAATAGTATATTCAGTACTGACAGGTTTTGTTTAACAAACCTTTGTTATTGGGGTTGAAGTAGTTTCCTCTTTTCCCCATATCATTTTATGTCTACTATGTCGTTAAAAAAAAAAAAAGATTCAATAATATGTACTTTTGCTTTATCCTTTAGAGAAATGTCCATGGACTGTATTTCATATTCTCCTACGCAGGTAAGTAATTGTCCTTACCTTTATACATACATCAGCCAATACAATTAGGAAAATGTTGTTGGATGGTACCATATAGCTTATATAGATTTAGTAAAATCTTGAAGCTACACAGTTGGGTACGTTGAATTTTCTCTGGCTTTCCCTTCCGTAGGCCTACATCAGGGTAGTGTGGCTGTTTTCATGCTTCATAGAGATGTTATCTGTCATCCAAGAAGCATGTTTGTAGTAAGATCATTTAACAGAATTTCCTTTTCAAGCTCATGACTGGCTGACTCATTTAGTGTCCTAAACTTGCCATGCATTCGTAGAATTTTGTTGACATTTTCCATTTTAAGATTGTTTTCTGATTGTTAATCAAGGTCCCCATTGGCGTCCCAATTGGTGAGGTCAAATCAAGTTGTTTTTGACCACAGTGACAAGAATATTCAAAAGTGCCGGATGGAATGGTTTTCTTGAATGAACACCTTTTTAAGAGTGTATGTGGTTTTTGTTTGAGAAAGCCCATTCATTCCAAAATCGAATGTTAAAAGCAAACTAAATTTTGAACAACATTCATCAAGTCATCGAATGTACTGAGAATTTTTCGTATGAAGGTTCGTATAAAATATACTTTTGTATTGCCAGCTTAAGGCTAGTTAAAACTATCCACATTTTTAGAGCTGTTACCAGAACAGTAGGTGTAAATTTTCCAATGGGGACTTATGTTCCTGTAACAACTGTGTAAGAGTAGAATTTCACCTCAATTTGTATAGATTTTCTCTCACTTTCTGTTGTGCATCTAGCTCAGGAAATTAAAGGAAAATTTCACTAATGGGACACAGAGAGCAAGAAAAGAACTGATAGAAGTTTTAACCCATTACAACACTATCCAAAGCTAAAAGAAAATTTTCACTATACATATACTTTAACCGCTTCCTCACTGCACTAAGGCCAAAGACAGCTACAGTGTGGTTCTCCAGTTCTGGGAGAGCGTTCTTGGATATCCTCCCAGAATGCACCGCCCGCACGCCCCCTGGGGCGTGTATTGGGCGCACGCTGACCTAATGTGTTTTGTTTTGGATACTACTTATTGTTGTAAAAACTTTATTTAAACATTAAAACCTATTAATGCACACACTTTTCTAGTTATGAATAGAGTGATTAAAACATTGTTTAGATTTTTATTGCTACTGTGATTTCACTGGAGAAACTTACCCTCACTTCCTGTTCCAGAACAAGAAGCAACGGTAACTTGAGAATGCAGGGGTAGGAAGGCAAAAACCGCAATAAACTTCAACGATGTTCTAACCTATCCCCATTCTATACAAAACTAAAAGGTTTTGTCTGGTGTTTGGTTTTAAACCTTTGATTTTGGTTTGCTTTGAGTTTTTCTGTTATAAAAGGAAAGTTTATAAATACACTCTATAAGCAGCTGAAGTTGAGGCTTACACAGGACTATGCTCCCCTGCCCCCAGATGTCAGCGCTCAGGCTTGGTGATTGGCTACATTGTGAGTTTGCTGAGGCACACACATATATGTAATTACTGGGTATTTCTTAGGCAGCAAGATAGTCTGGGGAAGGTAGTAAATGGTCCCACCTGAACTTGGCCTAGTATGGGTAAAGTAGGGGTTCACTAGATCAAAATCATCCCTTCAGCCTTAGTGGAAAATAAGGTAGCAAAAAGAAGTGAAACATTTTCCAGTCATTACTTTCAAAAATCTGCTGAGCGGTTGTAATTCTATTCTCAACATGCTGTGATGTTATAGAGGGCATTTAATAATTAACCTTTATCAGGACGACTTTTGTGAATTACTGTAGCTGGAAGATTGCCAACTAAAAGTCAGCCTCCACTTGATAGTCATTGTGTTATATACTGATCTTTGAACACGATTATTGAATTTGTTGCCACTAGAGGGCAGTACCATTTCATTAGAAGAAATCTAAGGACTACCAGAGCTTATGGTGTGTGCATTTTAACACCTTTATTATACCTTGAAAAGTTTCTAGGACCTCATATGCTTTTCAAAAAAGAATCCTTTATAAGGAAGTAATATGTACTTCTATCCCTGCTTACCAAAATGTCTAGGTATTTCAGATGCAGACAATCTATTCATTATTAGCAGTGTTGTATAAGCCAATATCATTTTTAAAGATTGCACTTTTTAAAATCTGTTGGGACAAAAAATATGCCTATTTTGGGAGGGGGGGGGGCGTGGCTTGGTCATGGTGGTGTGAACATGCACTTGTAAGAGCTCTGTGAGGTCCGAACCCTGAGATTACCAGTCTAGCCGTCGCAGTGAACTGCTTTACATGCCAGGAGAGTGGAAACCACAGCCTACTGCCGGTGAGCCGAGGGGACCGGTGATTACCCACTATTTTCTCCTCTCCGGTGCCTGCTCTTCCATCCAAGATGGCGCCACCGAGAGTCAGCATGCCTGGACCCTCCGGCTCTAGGAAGCACCATGCGCCACAAATAGGGGGACGAACTTTCTACCCCGCGCGCCCGGTCTCGCCTATCCTAACCCCCCTGTGCTTCCTCGGGAAGACTCCCCCGCTGGCTCATCCTCTTCTCCCACTTTGGGCATCCGGCAAGACGGGGAGCTCCGGGACCTTATTGCTGATTTACCTACTAGGCAAGATATACAAGCCATGGCCTCCTCTATAGTAGCGGCACTGTCCTGAGAGCTCCACGACCTGAAACGACAGGTAGACACGGTCAAGGAGAGTGTAAACACCTTGGAATCTTCAGCTTCACATGCAGACAACTGCATGGAAGCACTGGAGGCCAATCAGGCTCTTTCACTGCCATCTCATTAATTAATATCCAGCTCAGAATCAACGACAGTGGAAATGGGAACCAGCGGAATAACATTCACCTATCGTCATCCCTGAAGCTACGGCAGGACCTGACCTATGTTCCACGGTGGTTGCCATCCTCAACCAACCACCTACTACAGAACTTGAACTCGATCGGGTGCACTGGGTCCAGGGCCCGCATCCTCCTCCAACACATGCTGGTCTTATAACTTTGCCATCAGGATGTCCTTTGCCGGGTACATTTCTACTGCATTAAGGAGGAGATCCTTCGCAGGGCCTGGTCCAGAGGGGCCCTTAACTTCAACGGGGCTGAGGTCCGGATCTATCCAGATGTCTTCCGACAGAATCGCATAATGCGTGGCTTGCTGCGGCCCTTATTGGAGGTTATCCGGGAAGCTGGAGTTACTTACTGTTGTGGTCACCCTTTCCACTTGGTCATTCAACATCAAGGCTCTTGATACCACCTGCACTCACCTGATCAGCTTCCAGTGCTGTTCCAGTTCCTAGACCGTCCGGCTGTCACTGTGCTGAATTGGCTGGACTCTCTTCTTTGGGAAGATGCATAGAATCCTCCTCTACCAAGACCGCAACGGATCTGCAGGTCATACTCTTGCAACCCTACCGCTATGGCTACCAGGAGCACTTCGACGTCTTCAGAGGACTGACCACTAAGACTTACCGTTCAAATTGCTTCTTTGAGATGACATATTCCTGAATGGTTCCGGGCTTGGTGAGAGGCGAATCGATAACCCTTTAGTTTTAACCCTGTTTGACTTATATGGGAAACTGGTTTCACACTGTTGATATTGTGTCTGATGACCCTGTCTCTCCCGTTATTTGTTTCATATAGCCTTGATACGGTTGAGGTTGATTTGGAGTGTGTGTGTGTTCTGTGTTTTGATGGTGGCGTGCCCTCCCCTCTCTTTATGTAGGTCGTGCTACCCATGGCTGGCATGACCCACCCCCCGTCGTCGGCGACGATTATGGGCTGCATCTTGATTCTGGGCCCCCCGCGATGGCTCCATTCTTGGCGGCCGAGGGGGGGGGGCTTGCCTAGCAGGCATTTCCTTTCCTCTCTGGAGAATGGACGGGCACGGAAACAAGTCGAGCCTCTCGATCTGGCCATAGTCTCCATAGGTACGAATTAGTTATAGTTATTTATATATCATGCTGAAATAGACCTTTTTGGTCTAATCATTTTGCCTATATTTCTCTTTTGGGAAATGCTGAATTCAGCGGTATGCTTGCATTTATTGCTTTGTCTCGGTTCTCCGGTCTAACATCTCTGATTGTCTAATCCGAGTCTCACAACAGGGTATTTCCCCTACGGTGCACTACCGTGCACGTTACGGGAATTTGGTACGCAGTACCATTAGTAAACTCCTTTTCCAACCTCCTTTTCTTATTTTTTTACCCCCTCAGATCTCTTATCCTTTCCACCTTCCCCTCTCTTGGGCTTCTCCCCTCCCCCGGTTTCTACCCCTATTTGTTTCCCCAGTTTGTACCTTTTGTTTCTGATGGCAGAAGGAGCTCCCCCCCCTTTCCGCCCTCTTCCCTCCTGTTCTCTTCCCTCCCCCTCACTCCTCTTCCCCTTCTCCCCTTCTCTTCCCTCAATGTTTTCCCTCCCATTTCTCTTTCTTCTGCTTTTCCCTAGGTTTCCTGCCCCCACCCTTTTCTGTGATTGGGTTTGGGGTTTTTCATTTTCGTTTTTTTTTTTTTTTTCCTCTTTCGGGGTGTCTTTCTGCCCCATACTGGTGGACAGGGTTCTGAGATGGCCGTGTACGTTTTCAAGTTTACTTCCTTCAATGTGCGAGTCCTGGGTGTTCTGGAAAAACGCTCCAGACTCCTCGCTGATCTGCAGAAGTTGAGGACACAAGTGGCATTCTTACAGGAAACACATTTTAAACTTGACCATGTCCCCAAACTGACCAATGGAGCTTTCCCGACGGCTTATCATAGTCCTTTGCCTATATCCATATCGAAGGGGGTGAGCATTCTGATAGCTAGGTCTGCCCCTTGATCTCTCGGCGGTGCTGCAGGACCCTCTGGGCCGCTTCATTTTGGTCAAGGGCAAAACTGGTACTCCAAATTGTCACATTCGCAAATGTATACTTTCCCAATGTGGACCATCTCCTTTCCTGTGCAATTTGGTGCCGATTCTATTCGAGTTCACTGAGGGGACTCTGATATTCGGTGGCGATTT